CTGCATTATTAATGATTAACTTAGAAAATAGTTTCAATAACGGAACCGTTTACCATTGCCTTTACAAAAGCTCAACTGTCATCATTGCATGCATAAAATATTTAAGAAATCGCAAGTGATTTCTACGCATTTTTATAAATAGAATTTAATTTTAGTTAAATACATTATTGTATTGAAATCGTATAGCTCTACCCCTTTTTCTCTCCCCTTAAATCGCTTTGCTCTCTTAATCTTCAAATTAAAAAAAAAAAACTAAATGAACATTGCACGACTTTATAACTTAATATATTAGTTAGAAGTTAGATGAATAGAATAACTGAAGCTTGTTTAGTCATTAATATTAATCGATCGTAATTAATTTGCAAAAAAAAAAAAAAAAAAAAAAAAAAAATTCCGAGAATTTGTAATTTAGAATTATATAAAACTTTTCAGATTCATTTAAATTTAAACAAATTTCTGTTAGATCCTCAATGTTATGCTAGACTGCATTCTCGCTTATGGTCGATTAATTTTTACGGTTAAAGATTACTTTAACCTCAGAACTCTTAATCGTCATTTTCATTTATTTACTTTATGCAAATAATTAACTTCTTCTCTTATCTCTCTCTGTATTAATTTAATTTATGTTTTTTTCTCAAGTTTCATTGTAGCGTTTAAGTTCAAGAAAGTCAATGCATTTTTATAGATTACTAACGATCTTCTTAAAGTCCTTACGCCAACAATCGATAGAATTCATATATGTCTTTGAAATTGTACAATATGTTATTGCTTACGGCTCACTATATTATTTGAGTTCAAATACCAATGGTCGGTGAAAGTTCACTCACCTTAAATTCTTCTATGATACAAGCAAGCAAAGATTCGCTACACGAGAAGGCTGCGAAATTTGATTTATGAATATCGGCAAAGGAGCACTATCCCATCAAGTATGAAATCAATGTCTATTGAGGATAATTACTGAAAATGCCTTAACGTATTTATAAATTTGATCTTAAGAGGAAACACCATAACCAGCCAAAAAAATTAAAATTTTTCCCACATTTTTTTTTTTTTTTTTTTGTATGAAGTTGTTTATTGATTAATAGTGCGGCAACCGTGCAGATATTACACTAAGTATAAGTAAGGATAGGTAAATAACAGCTAAGATAAGTTAAGTTTAGTTTAAGGGCAACAATAAACACGAACGGATGCATAACCTAAGAAATAAATTTCATAAAGTAGCAGAAGTAAGATCAAAACGAAAACAATTCCTTACAATAGAGGAAAAAATGTGCCAATTATCAGTTTGTAACTAGAACTAGTACTTCAAACAAACGAAACCGTTATATATCACACACTCTCGCTCTCTCGCTCTGTTCATCTTCACCTATCTCTGGCATAAAATCTTAAAAGTTGTGTTATTGATACAGAAAGGAGGTTTAAATTATTTTTGTTGAGAACCGTTATCGAAGGAATAAGCCATTCATCCAGTTTTAAACGGAAGGCGTAGAAGAAGTGCAGGGCTACTTATATTTCATTAAAATGTGTTACTCATGACTCATGATTGCTGTCATGCTGTGCCCGTTTTTCGGTTCAAAATTCGATCGATTTTTGTTGGTGACGCCTTCGTTTGATAATCGCTGCTTATTAGGCATCTCACCTAGCTGACCATTACAAAGAGAGGCGCCAAGCGGCCATTCTGCTTTTTCGTCGACATCAATGGTTTTCATTACCCATCCAATGCCATCATTACCCATCCAATGCCATCATTACCCATCGGAATTCAACGTCGCTGCCCTTTAGTACGTTTCCATTAGCATTAATGGCTTTTTTGACACCAGAAGTTCAAAGGTCCAGAGAACTAAAGCTCTAGCTTCTAGGAGCGACACCGTGTAGAGCTGTGTAAAACAAGAGGATAGTACTTTCAGATTTAGAAGTTATCGCTTTTTTCAGTATCACATAGTACACCCACAGCATTTCAATATATTTACAACAAATTCGAAAGACGAAATCGACTCAGTTATGCCTGCATATTTTTATTAAAGTTCTCTCACATTTTGGATAAAATGTAACCTTGTAAAGTTTGATAACCGACATACTCATGATCATCATCTACGGCCCTTTGCCTTTTATTGGGTAGTTTTCTGATGATGAAATAGTTATGAAATAGTTATGAATAGTTATCATTTTCGCCCATCTTTAACATTGCAGACCTGTTAATTTGCGAAATATTAGCAGGAGGATATAGGTGTCCCCAAGTAGAAGATTACTGCCTAAGCTGCTTTCGCTTGAGACGAACAGACCTGTGAGGATTATCATCATATTCAAGGCAAAAATTTTTTACCCCAAATCTCGCAAATCATTTTCTACTTATTTCATAGCTTACTGTGTTTTAATTCCAAGGCAGCATCAGCTGCATTTTTTCCACTTTAATTTGAAGACATGCAGAGCCGTATATAACATTCATCACTTTACACTTTAGTACATAGCTTATAAACAACTGAAACTTACATTGTACCTGCGGCACTATCCAAATTACTTATACCCAAAATTTCGGAAAAATTGAACCCTTCATATACGTTTCATGGAGTAACCAACTTCAAGTGGCAACACTTATTTGTACATGCATTAAACGAACTCCTTCCATAATAAATAGCAATAATATTGACAAACTAATTAAAGAAAATCGAAATAAACTCGCATTAATGATTTTGACAAAATGTTTTTACGCCTAAAACTTGATTATGACGATCATAATGAATTTGTTTGCAACTAAAGATTGCGTAAAGCTGTTGTGAACTGTTTGCCAAAATATTCCTATTTATCTAAATGAAGATCAAACAAACAACAAAATAGTGTTTGGCAGCAGGCGACCTTCTTACAAATTTATGGTCAAGTTTGGATGTGAAAATAATTTCGTGCGAGTGTATAAAATAGTTTGATTTCACTTTTTTAACGCTTTAGATAATTCCGAAATAATAGCTCGATGCACAAGAAGAAAGCAATTTAGCATCCGAGTCATTCATTTCACTTGGCTGAATGTGCTGCATTGAGAGCTATTACAATGATGCCATTAACGCACTTTGACCTAAAGACAGGTTGATGCTCGTTGTAAAATCAGTGAAGTCTTCCAAAAATGCAATTTTTCTTCTGCAATACTATAAGAATATAGGACTGCTTTAGCACGCACAATAAACGTCCGTAGACGTCATTTACGTCGACGGGTTAATCCTGTAATGACAGCTGATAGGCTCTGTGGCCAAATGAAACATTTGAAACATATCATGGTTTATAGCCTTCTTAGTAGTCAAGTTCAAATCAGAAATTATTCTAATGTGAACACTAAAAAGTGTTTTTTTCTTGATGCACAACAACCTATAGAAACAGTAGAAATCTGGCAAAAAAAAAAAACACTTAGCCAAACATTCTTAAAAGATTGGAGGTCAAATAAATACGATCGTATCGCGTAAATGGCTTTATGGTCGCCATTTAGCATACGTACGGGGAATTGTTTGCAACAAAGAACGAAAACAACGCCTGTTCCCAGAGAAAATGTAAAATATGCAAACTGATGTGATCGAAGTTGAGGCGAGTGATAGACAATTATAAGGCATAGAGAATGACGTTTTCAAATGCATCGAATATATCATCAAGATTTTTTCTATTTTATATCGTTTGTTGTGTGTACTGTCTTCTCTAATAATATAAATTAGGTACGATTATGGCATGACGTGTATATGCGCAGAGGAAACAAAAAACAAAATAAAAAAATGCAAAAAAAAAAATGCAGCTTGAAATTTGTACGTAATAACAACGAAAATGTTCTCTGACATATCAAATACGTACCAATTTATTTAGTCCTTCAAGTGCATCAGAATTTCATGTTCATTGCGCGAATATTTTACTTTACACATACCCACTGCAGCGATTGTGTGAAATTTTAGGCGGAATTGATTTAGCCATAGCAGTCTTTTTTTGCATCGATAGGAATTACTTAGAACAAGAGATTTTAAATTTAAATTTAAATCGCTCCTCCGTGTTCAGTTGTACATAAGGTCCATGATGTTGAACGACCAGTAGTTCCTCTCTCGTAGTTCTTCTCTCACAGCTTTTTGATCTCGTAGGTACCGATTGGATGAGATTCATTCATCATTGTTCAGAGTTAAGGTCGGAAGAATTGCAAAGAAAGCAATGCAAAAGGAACTATCGTTTCCCGTAAAGAAATTAGGGAAAAAGTTTCTTATTTTTTCAAGAACACAGGTTTTTCATGTAATCGTTTTTCCATGGAGCCTTCTTATCATCAATAAATTACTGTAGATTTAAAATAAAGAAAGGGACTGAGAGTTCGACACTAGACGGAACCAAAATATCTGAGCAGTTACAGGGGAAGACAGCAACACTTGCTGATCCTGGATGGGATGGAAATCCAAACAATCCAATGAGCTCCTTAATGTGTTACAATTCACTTTACACAACCTTCAAGAATCTGTAGGCTCTTTTTACCGCTCTGCTTGTCGTCCTCTGACAGTTGAAAACGGAGTCTCGACGTTAGTATTTGATCATTCGAAAATCACGGGGCATTAAATACTGATGTCCCTGTCCAGTGTGCAGGACATGGCCTCCCGTTTGTACAAACCCCCTGTGGGGAATGTACGAGATGTATTAAATAGTCTGCTAAGGTGGGTCTTGGGACGCCTAGGACCGCCAAAGACCCAAAATATAACCTTTTCTGGAAGTCGAGCATATCTAAATGACTAAAAAAACGGCTATAAACTATTTGTGGTCACAATATAAGCACAGTACACCAGTTACGCACACTCCGTATTTTTTGCTCTGCTATATGTCAAAAGTTGACATTTTGAATATCATAGGAAATTGTTGTTTGTTTTTTTAGGACCGTCGATATATTATGCAGTTGTCAACCATATATTTAAGCCTGTCATGATTCTCCGCTTAGTTATATAAAATTGTTAACTTTAATATCCATTTATTAAATTAATTTTTTGCTTCTCTCATTTTAGAAGAAGAAGCCTATCATTGCTTGGCGGCTTTGGTGGGCAGTAAGGAGAAAGTATTTATAAATCAAACCAAATTATTGCATGAAGTTACCTGGAAGACAGTTATGCAAATAGCCAAAAAACATCAGGTAAACTAACTACTAAAGCATTCAATTGCTTATGATTTTTGCGATTTTATTAAATTCGATTTTCATTTTGCAGAAAAGCTCGGTTTCATATTTTCAACGTTTGTGTCCGGGTGTAAAATTGGAGCGTGTTTTCATGGATTGGTGCTGGTGGATATTGGCGGGCTTACCATTTCAGCATTTGGTTCGCATAATGGATTGCTATTTTCATGAGGGCATTAAAGTTTTATATCGCATCGCTTTGGTCATTATTAATTTATTTCATAAAGAATGCCAATCGAACAATGAATGGAATCCCGATAATATTAAAAATGACATCGCCAATGCATTAATTAAGTTTTGTAAAAAGATACCAGTATCACCGGCTAAACTATTACATGCCGCTTTTAGTATTAGAGGATTGAGGTAAATTATTTCAACTTTTTCATTTAAAAAAGAGTGACAGCTGACTCGTATTTCTTTTAATTTTTTTTTAAAGTATATTTTTTGTTAAATTTACTCGCCTAGCTAGTTTGCTTGAAGTGAGTTTAGGACATTTGGGATTAATTTCTTATAAATCAATCTTTCGTAGCAGATACTCTGCCTATAACATATGACATAACATTCGACCAAGTTAGGTTTTGTATCCCTATAGGTACTCATTTATGATATACTCCTTTAATGATTCACACTTTTTTCAACAAAATCGATCCGTTAATGATTGCTTTATGGATTTCAAGCATTAAAAAAAAAAAAAAAAAAACAAGTAACGCCACCATCCAGTTGGTTATATAACCGTTTTCAAATAAAAGCTTTATATCGGAAGTGGTCGAAAAAGCGACCATGTACCAAATTTTATTAAAATATTTAAAAAATTGGAGCCTGCAGAGTGAACACAAGGAAACAACAAGGACAGACGGGCAGACAAGCTTAAAATGATCTTCTGAATCAATCCACATAATAAAAGGTACATGTACCCCAAGTCCTTCTTGTTGTTAGATGCATCCATATAAGCTTAATATACTCTTGTGCTATAAGTGACGTAGGCTGTATTTATATTTTATGTGTGTTGGGACTTTTCTGTAGCTTTAGAATCCGTAGGTCTCAAGTTTTCTCGAATTTGTGGAATCAAAGCACAGAGCTGCTTACTTTGCTTTCATATTGAGCCCAAGCCTTATCATAAAAATCGGCGACGGGTGCAAAGAGCGTTCATTAGAGTGTTGAAAATTCAAGTTTGGCCTGAAAACGCTTCTTTGTCGAGCATGTGTTTTAAGTTTTTATAATAAAATGTTGTCTCTTTTTCTTTCTCTTGATTTACTTTCAGTTCCACATATATTTCTAGAATATTCATAAAGACTGAAATGTTATTAAAAAGCCGTTCCGTTTTAAATAGCGGTAACAAGCAATTAGTTAAATCGCGTTCCAGCGACAATCTACCAACAAGTCAATCGCAGGTTAATATACAAATGATGTCACACACTTTAACCATACGAGAGGTAAGTTTTCCAAATAGTAATAATAAATATGGTTAGAAAGGATTTATCAAATAGTATAAGAAAAATTTGAAAGCTTTGAATTTTGAAAAGCCTAAGTAGTTTCAATTGATTGTTTAGTTAAGATAAAAATTTAGCGTATGTTGCATTTTTAGAGATTTTTTTAAGCAGAAAAGCAGATGTTTTCCCCAAATTTCTTGTACGTAATGCTAAAAGCTTGATTAGTTCTTTTCTCTTTTACTATTTTATTTATTATTTTTCGTAGTTTTATGATACTCTCTCATAATCAATTTTCCAAACAATTTTAATGCACAGAAGTACTTGAATTAATTACAATTAAGGCAAGATATTCTTGTTACCAGGTCGGGTATGATTCATCGGTCATTATCCGAAACTTTCAAAATTTTTTCAGTCCATAAGGTCTTCTTTCAGCTTTTTCCTTGCCATGCCAGGCCGGCATTTAAGTATATGTTCATTTGCCAATGAGAGGTAAAGCTGGCGATTATATGCAAGCATAGTACATCCCACATATACATGAAATAGGAAATATTAATGAATGTAAAGTATTTCTTATAGATTTCTAGCCCCCTATATAAGCCTGTTAGTTAGTCTACCTGTTATCTATCTGTTATCGTAAGAGTAGGAAAAGAATATAACTTTCGTTTTATTACATGAATCTTTAAATGAATTTCAATATCCTAGCTTTTAATGTTGAATCATCCACAATAGCCAGTAGATAAGAAGCAGCCAAAAGCCGGAAACGTGGAAAAGTGCATTTTGTTCTATTGTTACACTATAGTTACATTTCAGAAATATTCCAGTTCCAAGCCATATAGAAATAGAGCAAATAATCCTTTCAACCTTGCTACGTAGTATAAATTTTCTAGTTGATGGTAGTGTTTTGGAAAATATTTTTTTAGAATGCACAGGTAACAATGTAGAATTTTGCCTGAAACATTGTCAGGTACGGCCATATATTTCATCTAGCGAAACCTAAAAAAGAGCGAGTAACGATCATCGTTGGTTAGCACTAAACCCATCGTATTCTACAATTTTCTAAACCCAGATAAGTAATCCAATCTAATGACCCAACGATGATCCTGATAGAATATCCATTTAAAGGTCTTGGCTATGCCACTGGCGTAAAATATAGCCTTGCATTTATTACATACTGAGGTGCATTTCATTAACCTAATCCAACTTAGAGCCAAATATAAGCTAACAGTTTACCAGCCGCAAGCCTATTAATCGGCCTTTTGTTGTCGACATTTACATATCCACAATCCATTAATCGGCTGTCATGGCTGTAAGCCTTCATATTTTATTTAGGATTGAGGTACGTCCAACTAGTGACTAGTTTGTTCTGTAAGCTCCCGCCATTTTCAAATACTTCCTAAAATCGTATAGTTTAATCAAAATAAAGGCGATGCCAGGAAACATTTGCGGCCGGTCGTTAAAGGGTTAAGTAATGCAACAGAGCTATGAACTATTAAAAATACGGTTCTTTCATCCAATTTACTTGGGTGATAGGCGCCTAAGATTCCCCTGAAGCAATTCTGCTTTCATTTTTATTTATTTTTTTATATTATATGTTTATTTTGCTTTTTATTTATGTTTTAAAACAAGTTTTTCTTTTAATCTATTTTATTGATTTTTTTTTTTTTTTTATATATATTTCTTAGCTTTTCTATGTAAGTTAGCTGTTGGTTGTCTAGTAGTTGTTTAGTAACTAATACAATCGTACATATATTTCTCTTAAAATAGTTTTTCTAAATTTATTATTTTATGTATGTAGTCATTTTCACTTCTGTTATGGTATTGTATTTAAGAAGAAGAACTCACAGTTGACTTTTTTTTTTTTCTTTATCTTGTTTCTTTTCGATATTTTTCTGTAATTATGTTTTCTTGGTATATTCATGTTCACATCTATGTATGTATGCGTGTGTGTACGTGTTTATATGCGGTTATATATATACATATATATATATATATATTCTCTGTGCGTGTGTGCGTATGTATTTTCATATAATCATTATGTACAACAACACAAACATTTAGAGAGTGATGCATACTGAGACCTGTCGGAATATGGTATGAGACGTTGTTGCTATTGTTATTACTAATGTTTTTAATAACAAAATTAAAACAATAAAAAAAAAAAAATAATAAATTGCTTTTAGTTATTTGAATTTTTCTTTTAATTGACCTTAAAAGTTAACATTTACTAATTTTCCCACTTTTTTAATTCGAAATTGTTGTGTTTGATTTTTTTATACTTACATTATATTTAATGCATATGTATATATGTGTATATATAACATTAATAATAATATGATAAATACTATAAATGAAATTCTAATGTACTTACTTACAAATATATAAATTTCTTTCTCTTTTTTCTCCCCTTTCAAAAATGCTGCCTTTGCTTTCCTTCTATTATAAAAACAAAAATGATACCTAATATGCAAAATATTGCTTTTCTAAATTGTTACTTAAAAACTGCTTTTTTTTGTTAATAAATATATATATATTTTTTCTTTTTGTTTACTTTCATTTCGTTTATTTATTTATACATCTGTAAACAATTTTTTTTGTTTTTTTTTTTTTTTTTTTGTTTAATTCACTATTGAAATCGTTTATTATGTTATTATTGTTAGGGGCAAAAATCACCAGGGCCCCGTGCTATAGCTATGGGCTCTTATCCAATACATAATTTGAAAAGTCAAATTTGTTCTTGCGAAGAATCAGTAAGTGCCTTCTATAAGATGTTTCTTCCTGCCAACGTAGAATACGCAAAGAACATAAACATTTATTTTCGCAGAGTTTTGGTTTTTGTTTCACTATAGATATAACTCGCTTTTCGTTTAATTTATCATTAATTTTCAGAATTTTCACCCCTTTTTGTTTTGCTAGATTGAACGCTTTTTCCAACTTCATTTACTTCTCATGATTTTATTGTAAATATCGGAGGAAGGAGGGGAATTACTGCTTTCGTTCTAGTGCGAGCATAACCTCACTTTTCACTGTCAACTCTAAGGGTACAATAGCAGATACATAAGCCACAATGTCTATTATAGATTTAAAACGAGTAAAATCGCTATTATGCTCCATGGCCCATCAAAAAATATCCTATAACATCCTATAGTTATTTATATCATGACTTCTCAAAATGGGGCGTCATATGGGAGGTGGTCGAAAAAGTACACTCGTCCTTGGGCCAGAACATGTCAGTGTGTCAAATTTCGCCACAATATCTGAAAAGTTGCATCTTCTTGATTGAAGGAAACAAGGTGGACAGATGGACAGACACATTTAAGTCGGTATAATAAAAGGTGGGTCTATCTCAAGTCCTCGTGTGTGTTGCAGAACATCCGCAAACACTTAGTATGGCTTGGTATCACAAATTTTATAGGGTATAATAATTAACGAAAATAAAGTGAGGCTTATATGTAGCTTGCTAATTAACTTTTGAATATACGTGTCCCATAAATTTTTTCGATAGTGGAAATTACTTCAATTTTTGTATAATAATTTCTCACTTTGCTTTCAAGTAATTCTTTCCACCCTTCCAAAAAAAAAATTAACCAAGTTTTTTTCGAAAGAAAACTGTTCGTCTTGGCTTTTGTGAAATTGGTCGAAACTTTTGCAATTCAGGATTATAATAATATTCATACAAAACCAGTTTTATTCTAATCTTATTAATAGGCCTTTACTCTCATCAAAATCGAATTTGCTGAATCGATGAACCTTCAAAGCTATCTGCCCTCCTTGTGATTTAGTGATGTGTAAATGAAACAATCATTTCTTATGAGCCGGCAAGTTCCCTAAATGTGAAGTTTATAAAGTACTCTAGCATATGTAAGCAATTCTTTGCAATGATTGTAAAATATCGAACAGTGGCCATTTTTAGTTAGGTTCCTTAAGCTTAATTATATTAGCATGGCCTAGATTCTTGCTGTATATAAAAAAGTATTTGCCTTTCCGTGATTATCCAAAATATCCTTTGGAATTTTTTTTTTTTTGCAATATTTTAGCAAAAATTTGCGATAATGAATTTAATTCGAAATCCATAGCTACATTAGTTGCCATTGTTTTTCATACCTGCCCTTATAAAAACTTATGCAATTAATTAAATCAAACTCTCACGTAATTTATCAAACTCAAGAACGATTAATTCGTTGACATTGACTACTGAAAGTTAATAAATAAATTATCTCTTGAGAGCAAATTTAATGAAAGTGATGTTCGTTTTGTGTTTTAATATTTTGCAACTTTAGTAATTACACGGCCTTTAGACTAATCTAGATCTATGACTGAGACGTGCGGCTGATATTGTTTGTCATAGGTTGGTTTTATTTCGCAGCATTCTTAGACAGCATTTTTTTAAACTGGTCTTTAAGTCAGAAGCTCGTGCGATTGTATAGATAGATGTTTGAACCATTCTTTAACCGTAGACGAGTAAAGTGAAATATACATTTAAATTTGCATTTAAAAATTTTTCTATTATCGGTTAAAGAAAAGGAGATAAATCTATTGAAAGATTAATAACTATATCAACTCAAAATTAACTCTCTCCGAGGAGCATTTAGTTCACCAGGCACGTACATATGAAGCCGGAATTTTTTGTGTGAAAATGATAAAAAATATTCTATTCAAAGTATTGCCCTTCGCTAGCTATAGATTGTGCCTACTTGTCTGACAAATCGTGGGTGCCACGCCAAAGACACTGTTGCAATCGAGCAATTTTTGTACATTCTCTTAAAAATTAAAGCCCTGCTCACTGAGTGCGTGTTCCATCTATGCAAACAAGTTGTAATCGAAAGGGCTTGGGTTTGATGAGTAGGCGGCTAGTGCTTTCCACTGAAGTGCTTTCTATCGCTATGGATGAATGAACGGACGTTATGTAAAAAATCTTCTTTTTTTTAAGTTTCCCTTTGCGATCTTTCGCTCGGTCTTTGAACAACACATTATTTCAATCTACTAGGCTTTGTTGGTAGCATTTGGTATTAACCAGTCTTTAGCAGCCGAACAAGCCTGTCGTCCTGCCGAAATGCTTGACATTGACAGTTCGGTATGGAAAGTACGCCTGGATCTATCCAAGATATTTTACGTTTGAGATTCCATACGCCTTTCCATCTTTCAATCTCATTCTCAGCCACGAGGCGTTTTTGCGCTCGAATAACAAAAATTTCCAGTTTTTTGCCAAATGAAGGGCATCGTTGCGATATATGCTGCTCTAATGTTCGCTTATTGTTTTAAGAAAAAATAATTGTATGTCCTCTACACATGGCATAAAAGGTAAATTCCGGTTTCACGTTTACATACCTGGTATATGCTTCAGAGAAAACACAACACCATTCTAGTTTTGTTCTGGTCATTTAACAAAGTTTGGATTTTAAGTAGTACCCTCCCTCACAGGCATATATGGATAACAACAACGTTGCTCCATTTTAAGTTCGCAGCGATAAAACCTTAATAAATTTTTTAAAATTTTTCTTCTTTCTAAATTCGCATGTTTGATAATTTTATTTTAAGTTTGAAAAGATGTTTGCAAACGTTTTTTGAGTTGCTTTATTTTTTTAATTTTTGATTAATATCATAAACTGTTTGCAATAAATTTTGAAATAAAAAAGTCTTAAATTCTTAACAGCTCTTTACTTTATGGTCTTGGCTACCTGTTCGTATTACTATGTACCAGGTAATAAGCTACTCAAGCCACAAACACTATACTTTTCAAATGGATGATTAAATGAATCTTTGATTTTTAGCCAGTTTTATTGTATACAACCGAAGAACATGGTTGCTCATTGACAACTTTCTATGTAAGGGTTGAACAACATGAGCCAACGTTGATGATGATTAAAACGTGCAATAATGAGGTAAAGCTTTAATGAAATTTTATTGCAATAAAATGAAAATTTATGTAAACTATGATGAAATTGAAGGTATTTGGAGCTTATTGTTCTTCACGTTGGTTTGAGCGTAATATCAAAGACGATAAGGGACAACGTCAAGCTTATTTCGGTACCGGTGAGACATTTTTATTCTCCTTATATCCAGAGCGGGCTAAATACCCTTGGGTGGGCATAGCAGCCGATAAAGATTTGGGACATTCTTCTGAGCTATTTATGGCGGCAGATGCTAAAATGATAACCATAGGAGGAGGGTAAGATAATTCAATTTGCTTCTCTTAGATATTTTGTTCAAATTTTTGTCCCATTTCAGTGAAGGGCAAGCAATATGGATGGATGAGAATATACGTTTCGGTAAAACGGATAGCTGCAAGACTTTTAACAATCCGCCTTTGTGTCCTTCCGGAGATTTTGAGATACGCGTTTTAGAAGTGTATGGCTTTGTCGGTGCCTAAGACAAAACAACTGAAAATCAACAGTTTTGGTTTTTATTAAAGAAGAGAAGAGGAAGAATAATCCACAAATGGAATAAAAATGTCGATGTCTACCGTTGTATTAATTGCAAAAAAAAAAAAATTTCCCCAAAAAGGCTTTGACTTGGAAAGTCATATTCAAAATAAAAAAAAATTAGTGGAATGAAAAAAAATTCGGAAAGCAGTCATCAGGCTTTCAATACATTCAAGAAAGGAAAAAATACTCTATGCGTTTAAAATGCGAAAAGAGCAGACAAGAAAAAAAAAAATCATCAAACATTTAAACGAGAGAAAAATATGAAAACAAAAATGAAATTATTATGATATGCATATTAAAAAATATATTATATATATTAAAATATATATAACGGTAAGAAGTTTTCATGTTATACGGTATAAAATCAAACGTTTTCTTTTAATTTTAACTTTTATTTGATTTCATTTTTTTTTTTGTTCTCAATTTTTCTTGTTATTGCTTTCTTTGTTTATTATCTATCATCTAGATATAAAATTTTTTTTTTTATTCAATTGAAAAAGGGACTGATTTAAATAATTTAAAGTGGAAAGTTGTTTTTTTTTTTTTTTTTTTTTTTTTTTTTTTTTTATAGTTTTTCCTTAAGAAAAAACTAAAAGAAAAAGAGAAATTATAATACTGATAAGGAATACAAAAGATTATTTATGTTTAATTTTTGAATAAAAAAAAGCTCAATTTTTGGAGCAATTTATATAGGTATTGCGTGAGAAACGATTTTTATTAACATATATATATATATAATAGATCATTTAAAAAGGGAAAAGCAAACATCATATGAATTAATTCAATAAAGAAGTAAATGTAATTTTTTTAATTTAATCTTCTAAATGTGTATAAATGTGACAAAAGAGAATACTTCTAGAGTTTACTAAAAATATTGTAGAAATAATTGTATAATTAACTTTAAAAGTTTTCTTACAAATAATTGAATGTAATTTTTTTTTGCTCTTTTCAATGTTGTTTTATAATATTAATAGCTGTTTGATTGTACATTTAAAAAAAAAAAAAAAAAAAAAAAAAAAAAGGAGAAAAACGATTAAATTTATATTTATTGTTAAATTCTGAATTCGTGGAAGCCTTGAAAAGGATTAATGAAGTTTCACATCAAATTTTTTTTTTCTCATAATTTTTCCTCTCTTGTTTTTGTAAATTATAAAATCGATCTCATTTCTGTATATATTTATTAACTTAGAACAAAACAAATTCATTCGAATTTGTTAAGCAAATAATTTAAAATAAAACCTCAAAGTAAATTCATACCTGAACAGAATCAAATGTAAAAACATTTTTTTTTTTTTTTTTTTTTTTACTTCATTTACGTGTTCTTCTTCTTCGTCTTCTTTAAATAGCAATTTTATACTCAATATTATTTTAAAAAACATGCTCGATGGGCTTATCGTAGAAGTTAAAGCAAAAAGAGATTATTATGAAAACAATTATTAATAATTTGGATCTTTATTAATTGTGGTCTCCAATGCGGTTATATATACTTTGAATCCCCCCCCGGTCTTATTACCGACATTAAATTGTTTCTATATCGATGACAAATACCACGCTCGTAGAGATCAATAGATCTGTAAAAGTTGTTTATGCAAATGAATTGATTTGGGAAATTATATTCCTTTCACTATATTAAATATTGAACAAAGGATAATTAGACATCAAAGAAAGTAAAGCGTAGAAAGTTAAAACAAGCAAATACCTCATAGTGGGACACAGTTCACATTTACATGCCTTACACTATCCTACAATTAGTCCTATAACGGCTTTTTCAAATAACGTGTTACATAGGAAGAGGTCAAAAAAATGGCCTGATCTAGACTAATTACAGTAGCGACCACACTTAGCCCAAAACACGTCGACGTACGAAATTTCATCACAATATCTTAACAATTGCGGCATGTGGATTGATCACAGAAAAACGGACGGACAGTAGTCAAGTTCGTTTGTGCGTTGCATACATCTGCATAATAATAAAAATAATTCGTAAGTGTAGTGAAATACCTACTCTTTTATGTAGTTGCTGTAATGATCACAATGCATTTGTTATATCTGTTGTAGTTTATCGCCAATGAGCAAAAACAAAGCTAAACACAGCTGTTACCACTTAATGTTGGGAGTACAGGCGGGCCCTTCGATCAATTTAGCCCATTTTCAATACTCACTTACCTGCAAGAAATAGTTTTTACAACCGGCAAACTTTTTATAATAAGCGACCGGACAAACAGACAGACAAGCCTTGGTCATTTGAGAACTTAGTAGCATTCTAGAAAATATACACGTGATGGCAGACCCAAAACTTTTCTTTGCTACTGCTACAATTTCGAGATAGATAAAACAATGACAACGAAGGAATGCGGTTATGAAGTAAAAGGGTTAGCATTGTTGAAAATAAATACTTTTTAAAGTTTTTTAATTTATGGAAATACTCTCCACTTTTTTATTGATACAGCGCTACCTACAAAAATAGAAATTATACTGTTGCTGTCTTATGATTCTCGACACCGAATAATCTCGATCGTATATTTGGAAACGTCACTTGACAGCGGCCTTTTTTATTCGATAGTAAGATAAAGCCATACTTCATCCTCTTCCCTCTCGTTACAGCGAGGCCATAATCCACAGCTGCGGAACTTACTCGATATTGAGAACCATTAATCGATATCTGGTGCGTATTATCGCTTGTAAAGTAACGCAATACAATTCGAAGTGTTTATATTAATCACATCATAGAGAGATTGGCTGTTATATTCTTCACTTCCTTTCAATTCACTGCGCGGATAAAAGACTAGAAAAACATTTCCGTTTTAAAGTAGAAACTTTTCACTGTGCTTCCCTTACGAAGGGCAAGGAAAAAAGAGTCAATTTTAAACACTTGACCATCATTCTCTTATAGGCTTTACTATATTTAAATTATTTTCTTCGTAAATAAATAAGAAAAGTTTTTTTCATTCCAAGTTTTTACGTCCATCACAACGGAAAAAAGTGCACATAGGCAAAATAATTGTTCCTGGCTTGAGATTTATCCGATCTTTTGAGTGAGATTCTGGGTCATTTGAGTTCAATCCGTCCGGTTTCATATTATTGGAATTGTCAGATTTGCATAAATGTGAAGAAAATCATATCTGAAACTTTATGATGTTTTCTGCTAAGGCTTGAGAACGACTCAAGAAAATTTGTAAAATACTAATCGATGTAATGTAAATTTAAGAGTGACATCCGTGATTGGGTTTTTCATTTCAATATTCATCTTCTTAAGGCATATCTCCTCATCTTTCTTTGTTGTCTTTCAGAAAGTTTATAAAAAAATTGAAAAATTCGTCAAGACAAAAGTTGCTCTCAATTCTTATTAGCTCAGATATATTTTGATAGACGCAAAAAATTTATTTATTTTCACTTAACACAACAACATCATCCAGTAATAATTTTTAAAAAGTTTTACTTAGCTGACCGAGGTGGTGGATGCTGAAAATACGCTTCAGAGCGGTTTCATATTTCTTTAGATCTTTGTAATCATAAAATGAAATTAAATAAAATCTAGTCACTAAAGCTCATTATTTCTCTATAATTTTTCCTTTATTTTAATTTGCACAAAACTTCATTAATCATATTTTACTTGAACAATAAATATAAATTTACTTGAAAATGTTCTCTCAAATATAATAATGCTATGCAACTTCTATGTTTATATATATATATATATATATATACAATTTATGTATATATATACATGTATGGGAAAAAAGCAAATATAAATAAAATTAATGAACTCTACAACGAAAACTTAAGGGAATAATTGATTTCTTCGAAGAAGATTCGCTAGAAGGTGGGCTAACAAAATCGTATGCCCCAAAAGGATTTTTTTAGGAAATTTCAATAAATTTTTTAAACTAAGTTGAAAATTTAAAAATCCAATTATTTTCCTAATTATACTTTTCGCTTGAAAATTACTAAAGCAAAATGCTGCGAATATGAAGCAATTAAGCCAAGAAAGAGATGGTTACGTCCCTTTGATTGCACTTATATTAATAAGTTCTTTGGAATTAATTACCTTTATAAAGTTCCCCACTAAATTGTTTTAAAAAAATTTCCTTTCAGGTGCTGGTTAAAACTTTGAAGGGTTTTGTGCAAAATTTTTTTTACAGAATAAACGAATAAAGGAAGTTGATCATGTACATTTTCTAAAAATGTTTGGCTCTAAGCTTTTTTCTGTTTCAAATCATGCAGTAGGAAGGGACTTTTCTTTTTTTTTACAGAAATGATAATTGAAATCTTCTTACTTCACACACTAAGAAATATTAGATGTTTGGAGGTTTGCACTCGTATCAAGTTTCCCTATAATTCACGAGCTATTGATGGAGGAAAGCGTGAAAGTAAAAAATAAACTCCGATGTTCTAAAACAAGACAGGGCTTTTAAGCTTTTTTGGACAGGTTTTTAGACATAATGCTGTGCGCGATCGTAGCGACAAGTGACCGATAAGTTCGATAAGGCATGATAAAGGCCGTTTGATATAATGCAAACCTACTTTCCTTAGTACGCAAGTACATTTCTTTTTCTTAGTAATATTCTAAAGAAGATTTTTGTTATGCTTGAGAAGTTCCTGATACGTCGCCCTTCTGCTTTCACCAAAAGAGGAAGAGTACAAATATAAACTCATCATTTTTGGTAGTGATACTGAGCGTTGTCTGCTAGAGTTTACTGTTTCGGTTGCTAAACAGTTACAATTTTTCCCTTTCAGATGCAATGTAATCATTTCTTTTATATACCGTTTATATATTGCTAGTTTCGTTGAATGTAGACCCGAACATTATACGTATTCGCTTAAAATCTAAGGCTTAGATCATTAAAACTGAAGCAAATGTTTTAATCAAAGCTCGATCAAAACTTTTGTTTTTCTCAAATATTTTCTTAGTTAATAAGACTCGATTTCATATTCTCTTGAAGTGTAAGGTATTTAATATCCGATCATTTCCGTTTAATAATAAAAATGCTATCATTTTCAATTAAATTCGTTAGATTTCAAAAATAATTTATTGGAATAAAAAATTATTTAATAAGAAAAGGAAACATATAGAGAAAAAGCAGAGTATAATTATAGATATTTATAAAAATTATAATAATATTTATAATCATAAAAAATATATAAATGTTGTTTACAATTTTTTTTGATAGAAAGCAAAATAAAACATAAAAACAAAAAAAAAGTAAAAAGAAAAAGGGGAGAAAAGAACTTTAATAAAAAATTAACAAAAATTTGCTTATATTATAATTATTGCATTTTGCTAATAACATTTTATTAATGCATTTACGCATTTCTGCCTGAAATATTCATAATTCAAATATGAGCAAAGAATGTCTGTTTATCACATTTCGCGACTTGTGAAAAAGTGAAAAGTTTATATTTACTTTCGATTTGATTTTCTCATTCTATACACTCCGCATAACTTCATCACATTATTCTAGAAACAGATATCAAAACTTTCGAAAGACTGAAAAGTTGAATATATCAGGATCGCAAGGTTTTCATTCAATTTACACTTCCGTCATATCTCATGGGTAAGCTCAAAGTTGCATTAATCAAAACATAGATTTAAGTAAACATTCATTGGGGCATTATGATGTAAGTACAGCTAAAGTAAATAATGAACATATATATATTTAATTTGCTTATTAGTTCAAGAAGAGAAAATGATTCTGATTAGGTTGAGTAAAGCATTGAAATTTAAAAGAACTGTTTGAACTCGCGGAGTTCAAAATTCTTCTCACGTCGTATACAGAACAGCATTTATTATCCCCACTGGACTGCTTTGAATAACTCGATACTATCACTGGTTTGCTGTAGTGGCCATCATCGCCTTTTATAATTCCACCTGTTTCGCTAATAGAAGAAGAAGAAAACATAACATTTCCACAACACCATTACATTGTATGTAAACCTTCGCATTGCCAGTTTGAAAAATACGTGAACTTTGACAGAAAGTTTTTTTTACGAAAATCGCCGGATTCTCCGGTATGATTCGCCATGCGTTGAAATATTGTTTCACCTGAGCCAGTTCTTGAGTCGCATTCATCTTATGTCTATGCAGCATCAAGATGCCATAAGGTATATCTTTACATATGATGAAATGACAATATACTGGTACTGTTACATAAGGAGAAGGCTTCACACCTCATTTTGCGTGCATGTGATATTATTACTTTTGAATAAATTCCGTTTTTCAAAATTATACGATTTTTGCGCTAATATTTTACGCATTAGCAAAATACAATTTGTAGTAAGTAGAAGATAAGCCGATTCGACTTTGCTTTATATATATCTATACCTATCTGTGTTTTTATTTTTAAAACTTGATATATATTGCCTTTGAAAAAGGCCTTGATTCGTTTCTGAATAACTTATTATAACATATTTCAAAATCATTGAAATTTATATTACGTGCAAAAGTGTCGCTTTGTAAGAACACTGTAGTTGGTCTGGTCCTCCATTATGCTCTACACCACTCCGCAGTTATTCATGTAACGAGTTTTCGGAAAAGGGCGATCAATGGGAAGTGGTCGAAGCATTGGCGCAAACGGGACCATTCCAAACAGTGTTCGTCCTAGAGCCAAAACACCCCAGGGTACTGATAAATTTCATAAAAATATCTCACGAATTGCAATCTATAAATTGAACACAAGACGCCATGACGAACAGACGGACAGACAAGCTCAGATCAACTCAGAAAGAGGCTCTGAATTAGTAGGCGTAGTAAGAGGTGAGTTTATCTCAAGTCCTTCTCTGTGCTGCATGTGTGTGCGCAAATTCAACACGTGCTTACGCGACAAGTGGTGCAAGATATGAAAATTTCGAGAATATATGGATGATATAGATATTAAAGCCTAAATACATGGAAAGCTTTAGAAGGCAAGACGACATATACATTTGTTTTTGCACAGCCCGACTTGTAATTAGTTAAACTTGCTAATAATTATAGTCAGTCTGTTAGTGCATTATACAACAGCAATTTAAAAATAATTTTTCACACCTGCACTGAATTTATTATTCGATTCTATGCAACTACCTAAAAGTAGTGACTATATATATATATATATATATATATATATACGGAATAACATAGCATATTATTTTCTGCTTAGGAAGAAATCGTATGGGGAAAAACACAGTACAATCAGGAGAAAAGCTTAGCTTCATTCAATTCTATATGCTTTTAAGCTGTGGAAAGGAATGTGGACGAAATTTTTGCTTAGTTAATAATTCTTCTTCTTATTTACTTCTCAGTTTCATTGGATAATCGAGCAGAATTTTTGCTTCATTCCAATAAATTTCTTGAATAAATTTATTAGGAAATACCTTACGATTAAGTAATTGTAAATAAAAATATTTGTATGTTATTGAAAATAACTGGAGACTGAAGGGACTGATAAAACATCTGTGTACTACTTATTTTGAAAATTAAATCGATATAAAACATTAATTAATCAATTAAAGTCTTGCCATATGCCGTGATGTCTTTCTGCTTTCATCAGACTCCAATTTGTAATCGTCGAATATTGTGATGATAAGGGAATAAAAGTTTTCTACAAAAATGTGTCTGCTACCTAATGCGTGATAAAGTATTTAAGAGGTAGGCAGAATTAATTTTCTGCTTTGCTATGTTGACATTGCATTTTTTTCATCATCTTCTGCGTCGAGATATATTATTTGAAATTATTAACTAACGAGTTAAGGAAGGAGTGGTAGATAACGAAGAAAAACGAGAACGAAGCAAAAGGCAAAGAGTTAGTGGAACGACGGTACGTAAGATTTTTTTTAACGGCCTGAATTTAGGTATTATGAGAAACTATGAGGCATCTCTTTGATAAAAATTGAATGACTCGATTGTCTCTGACATGTAATTTCCTTAAGTTGGTGCAATGTGTTATGTAACTGACGAAAGAGCCGCGTTATTGGCAAAAAAAATTCGATGAAAAGCGTCTTTGACGAAAAATTCTCCATAGATTAGTAGTGCAGAGTACGGTTTCAAAAATCTTTACGCTTCATTTTTTTGCAGAATTCTCTAATTATTAATTAAAGTTAAGTGAAATAAATATTAATGTTAAAAATGTATGTAAAATTCATTTATTCATTATTTTTATCATTTCATAAATTTATGAATTTTCCCAATATTAATGCAAAGATTAACGTAAAATATTTTTGCCAATTATTTTTAAAATCATATCGATTATTGGCTTTGTTGCAATAATTATCATCGTCACATACATAACAGCCCAATTCCTGTATAGACATCAACGAGGGATCTGTACGGCATCCGGCTTCAGTATCGTTAATGTTGCCAAAGAAACAATGACGCATAATTTTCTGTATACCCCTTTCTTTGAAAAAGAAAAAAAAAAAAATGAAATTGATTTTTTAATTTATTACTCTATTGCTGATGGATATTTGCAATGAATAATGAACAAAGTTTAGCCTCGAAAAGCCTCTGCAAGCATCAGTTTTCTCGTGACGTTTGTCTCGTTTAAATATACGCTTTAGTGGCTCAGTAAAAACATACAAGTCGTTAAAATTTAAGTTATCTATAGAGTATAAGAGCCCACCTAGACATAGATACTCATTTTATTGCGTACTGTTGGAACTTTTGTAGCCAAAAAAATTAATATTGAAATCCGTAGCTTATAATTCTTAGTTTAAGTTTGTCGAAGAAAAGTTAAGGAAAGTTAGCGCAGTTCGCCTGGAATTACTAATAATATTGACAAGTAATAAACAGCCTTGAAATGGCTTTATAATAACTCAAAGTTTGTGAAACATTTCGTGCTAGCACTGATCGAGGTATTCTAAAAAAACATTTCAGACAGACTGACACGCCTGCAATTTCTAACTGCACGTATTTACTTAATGTTAATAATTAAAAACACGGTCATGGCCCATCATTCAATAGCCTACTCCACTTCACCCAACACAGTTATTTATATAACGACTTTTCAACAGAAGGCCTTTTACTCGATGTAGTCGAAGAAGTGCAAAAGTAGTTCAGTTTATCGAGTTTGGCAGAAATATTTCCAAAATTGCGTCCTGTTGAACACAAGGAAACAAGAAGGACAGACGGTCGGACAAGCTTAGATCGATACAGAAAGTGACCTTGAATTGATCGGTATTATAAAAGTTTGGTATACCTCAAGTACTTTTGCTTTTTGCATATAGCCGCACCCATGCAGCACAAGTTGTGTAGGGTGCAATAATATACGCAATACTAGCTTTATTTTTACGCAGTCACGACGGTCATTGTGACCTTATAAACATTACCTTGTAACGTGTAATAAAGTATAATATGCCAAGCAGAGCAATTCTTCAAAGTGTCATAAAACAATTTTCCAAAAAAAAAAAAAAATTTAACACAAACTACATTTCATTGGCGAGGTTCGAGGCAAGACTAATTTCAATTTTTCGCATTTTTATCGCGATGGACATCGAAAATTCACTATTCATTTTATTGTTAGTTACCTGTGTATAGTTTTTTCACACATGCCGTGGCATTATGAAATTCTTTATCAATTTGCAGGTAACGGGGCGGCGCTATATGGTCGCAATCCAATTTGAAATAAAGTTCGGCTTCAAAATCTTCACCACAATTGATCTCGTATACCGATTCGCATGAGTAACATTTAATCGCAGAAACTTGACCGATAATTAAACAAAAATAAAAAAAAAAAAATCAGGAAATTTTTAAACCAAATATTTACTTAGATAAGTCAAGTTTTGAACGAACCTGTTGCCACCAGAGAAATTGTAGCCAATACCATTAGCAAGTTGTGCATTTTGTTAACATTAAAAAATCTTTTTATTTTCATTCATAAATAAAAAAAAGGAAATCCTTTTATGCAATACCGTTGTTTATTTTTATTTTTTTTGTTTTTTATTAACGCACGCAATGAAAAAAAAAAGACATTAAGTCGCGTCAGACATTATTTATACGGTGTAAAGTATATATATATATATAGATATATATATATATATTTTTCTGTACATCTCATCTCATCACATATTCAAAAATATGTACATTTATATATATATATAAATAAAAACTTATTACGGAATATTTTCAAAACATGATAAAACCGATACTTTCTTGCTTCACGCTTTTAGCCGATATAGGCGCGGGGTTAATACTCTTTCCTTTTTGTTTATTTTATTTTAAATGAATTTTTTTTGTTTATAAAAATGTAAGTGCTGTGCTTTATTGAGCATTCTAATTTACACTAAATTTTCATTTTCCAAATTTTTTTAAAAGAATTTTTCAGAAATTTTTTATATTTTGGAGCTCACTCTGCAGATTACCTCTCGTTTCTTATCTCATTTCGTACTCATTTTGAAAAGTGCCCCTACTCGCATTGCATCTCTCGAAGATTCTCAATCATCAGAAAGATATTTTTTTCAATTTTTCCCTGTAGTTGGCAAAGTGCCGGTGGACTTCTCTAAGAGAAAACTTATAGGCGCCTAATATCTTCTGTTTTCGCTCTGATCGTCGATTTAATTCTCTTTTCAATATTTTATTTATTTTTATTAAAAGTGAAAAGAAATCACGTAAACGCGAACTTGTGAAAATGTCTAAAGATCGTCTTTGATGATTTGTTAATAAAAAATGCATCCAACAATAAATGAATTACGACCTGAAAAAAGGTAAAAAAGGAAATTTTTTATTAGAGTGTGTGTGTGAAGTAAATGCAGTAACGGAATGCCACTCAGAACAGAAAGAACGTGCCTCAATTTCCGGAAAGATGACAGAAAGATCAGGATCACCAAGGGATATCAAGTTTGTTCAGATGTACGCAACACTCAGAAGAGTTTATGATGGATCCACCTTTTATTATAGCTGCTGGTTTAGAATTGCTTTCTGGTTCGTTTCGGTCCATTGCCTTATTTTCTTGTGTTCAATCAATATTTTTATGAAATATGTTGCAAGGACGAAAGCTATTGAAAATGTTTTGGATCGGTCCACCCTTTCCACGACTCCACGTACAATACTTTATTTTGAGAAGTGGTTTTATGGGATAATATATGGGGGTAATATTTGGACATTCGAATTGCATTGACAGATTCGGCTGGGCCAATTTTTGGAATCCCTCCCCTCCGCTCCGCTCATATAAAGGTTCCTGTGACAACGGATGCGTTATATAGTAAAGAGGTATAATTTTTAATAATTCATGGCAAAAATTATTTCATAATAGTAAAGTGACAAAGAAATCAATCGTACCGAGTGTGGCCCACCTAGATCTATTTTTTGCATACCACCAGGTATTTAAGGATTCCTCCCATGTAAGGGCTTTCATGAAAAGTATGCCTTTGCATAAGGATAATGTTTACTTTTTGATGTATTATTACCAAAACGATTGAATAACTGTATTAATCGAAGTCTAGTCTAGTATCTGGCCTTGCTCGACTATACTGTTCTTGTTTCTTTTATATTTCTGGAAGAGCTTTTTCGCTTCTACATTTGTTGAATTTTATTGAAAATTTGTTTTAAATTGATTTAAACCCAATAATTAATAAAACAAATAAGAAGGTTATAATTGGTTTGTATGTGCGCTACCATACCATGAGATCATATTGATTGTATCCTTAACCATTTAAGAAGACTTTTTTTAAAAATTTTTGGCAAAATTTATTTGATTTCTTTCAAATCACGTTTCATTGCAATCACCTCTTCTCACATAATTAAATAATATTCGATTTTTTTTTTTTTAATTTGAAAAGCCTTTAAGAGGCTCTGACTTTATTCGATATACAAATGCTTTTAATTACTTATGAAATTGCTTACTCACTGTTTTGGATTGTAACCAAAAAAGAGATTGTTGTGAAGATTTTGTGAAAAGTTTCTTAATCTAATGGATATTCAAGCATCTAAGATAGCAAACGTGCCAGAGTGAAAAACGCTACAATGGCCAATGCCATGGGACCCGCAGCATTGGAACTATTGCAAAGATTATCCGCGCAAACATCACAGGACAGCTGTTTGACAAAAGGCAACGATGGATCCGCTTGGCAGCCCGTTTGAGTATTGGAAATCTCACCGAAATAACAGGAACGTATTATCTGTGGATGACCGTTAACTGAGAAAAAAAATTCAAAGTATAAAATAATTAACTCGTATCGCTTTGCATTCTGGATACAATTTAAATATTGAAAATACTGCCCCCTATAATTAATAAGTTAGTTTGTATGTTTGCAAAAAAAAAAAATTTATATAAACGACTTTGGGTACATTGTACACATTGCAAAAAAAAAATTTCACAGGTTTGAGAACAATAACTTCAGTAGGCGTATATGTATGTATATGAATGTCAAGAAATACAATTGCGCATCATTCATAGTTTTGCGATGACTTCAAACAATGCTAACAACAGGTAAGCGGCAATTACTAGCTATTAGCGCTTTGTATTTGCCGCTAAAGGGCCAGGTGTGATGGCTTTGGCATAATTTGTGCGACGCAGAAAAACCGTTAGGTCGATCAATCTCAGGTTTCAAATTGATTTTATTAAAACTATCTTCTCATTTTAAAAATCAATCTCAAAGAGCCTTAGCTCAGTTTAGTTTCAGTAGATTGCCAATGGCTAGACATCTATCAGAATTTCTACAAAATTCTATTCAAAACTTTGAAGGCATTCTCTTTCAGATTATGAAAATAACAGAGATCAGGTGGCTTTCAGGTACAGAATGAAAGGAATGACCTTCGCGAGTGGAATTAGGAACCTGTTTGATTTACTAGGTTCAAAGGCCTTAGATGTTTTTATAGTTAGTATTCCAGCTTTAGTGTAGATCCTCTCAAATGCAGGATTAGCGGGCAGATTGGAGAGGGGGCGACCGGGCGAGGAGTGTTGGGTGGCGAGGGGAGGGCGGGGGGGTCAAGTTATCGCTTGCATTCAACTTATGAACCAATTGAGTTTCGTCTAACCAACTTGAGCACCGCACTACGCACTACGATGTTAAACTTTCGAAGATATCTTACGTTACCTAAACACTGCATTTTGCTCGATCCACCAGTATTCGTAATATTTCATACACTTCAACTGTTTGTCATACACCTTGCCCGTACCGAACGTATCCATTGGGGGAGATGACGTGATAAAAGTATTCAAAACACAATTTATTCTCACGATATTCATGCAAGTTAAAGTATACGTGCGTACCAAGCGCTAAGATAACTTGTTTATATCGCGCGAAGTCGCACAATTTGCTTACTCTAATGCGAAAACATGCAAATACTAAGCATTTTCGTGATATGATTTTCAAATTAAAACCGCTGTCAGCCGCTTGCGATTATAATAATCGTAACCTTGCTCATTAGGGTTTGGGGAAACCTGGTATATGCTAATCATGTTATTTGTTTTTTTTTAACTTAATTGAATTAATTAAAAGATTATTTTAATTGAGCCTTAGGAAAACTTGCGAACAATATAATTAAATTCAGTTGGCTTAGTTGCCCCAGTTAACGAGTTTATGAATTATGGAAGCGTATGGAAAGTTCAAGAAAATTGAGCCCAAGTCAAATAAATGCAAAAAGAAAGAAGAAAATTGTTTAATAACTTTGTTTTTTGAGTTATATTTATCCCAAACATTGTGAAATTGAAATTTGAAAACAAAAATGACATCATTTCAATGCCAACCACTCATCCATATATATAAATATATGTATATATATATATATATACATATATATATATATGTATATATTTATATCTGTATATAAACATAATATCATATATATTGTACTTACCGGCTTCTAAAGTTTTCTTCATGCAACCAGTGGCATTGCGTATTGGAAAGATTGATTGCAAAAATCTAGGCGGTGCTACTCGAGAACAATCATATTTCATAACATCATCCGCTTCAAAGTGTTCACCACATTTTGTATTCGAAATTGATTCACATTGATAGCAATGAATTGCAAAGGCTACGATTTAAAAAAGTAATTTATTTAATATACATTACATACATATATATATATATGTAAATATTGTGATGAAAAAAATTTTTTTTTTGTATTATACTTGTGCCAGCTAATACGGCGATGACGGTCAAAGCGAATATATATTTAATATTAGCCATAATTAATTTTTTTTTGCAAAATTTTTAAATTTTAGATCTCAACAATTTATCTCGTCTAACTTTTGTTTAAAACTAAACTGATTTTTTGTTGCTTGAATTTGTTAACTGTAGAGTTGTTAATGAATGCTATTCGATATAAACTGCTTTAAACTCAATAAGAGAAAATTTGTGCGTTCTCTTTTTATTGATGACCATACGCTCTAGGAGAGAGAGTGCTTTTGAGTTATTTTTCTACTTGAGTTTGTTTTCACATACAATTCGTTTCGGCGAATTTTCGATACCTTCAATAGTTGAAAATTGTAAGATTATTTGAGATGTAGGCGTGTTGTCTGTCTAATCAGCTCATATAGTAAGGAAAGTCTTATACCAACTTTTAAATCAACGTCCTCTGTAGGTTTTCTTACAGTTTATTGGACTGCGGTCGTGTTGTTTATGTATATTTGCACCGAGATCCATGAATTGTAACTCATAGGTTTCTTCTAATGTGGGTGAAGTTGTTTTTACTTTCTTTTTCTTTAATGTGACCTATTAGTCAAGGCGCGTGCCCTCTATGTGTAGCACGATGATAACTAGAAAGATGTGGGACCAGATAGTGACCAGTTCAACCTTTATATACGTCAAGCTTTAGCTCTCTATTTAGATTTTTTAAGATGTTTAGAGATTCAAAAACAGGCGGCAGACAGGTTGGTGGCTGAACACTCCCAATTGAGCTGGCGAAGAATGTATATACATGGTGATGTCTCTAATGTGTGTTTCTTTGTACTACGAACGGAAAAAAGAATCTAATACCCTCGCATTTGGTGGTGGTGGTAGATACAGCAATGAACCCAATAGGAAAATTACAATCTTTTCGATTTCCTTAAATATCTCATAATTCATAGAATAAAAGCGATTTTACATTGTCACATGAATATAAAAGATTTCAAGGCCTTCAGCTATCAGTAAGTAATGTAAGTGTGCATTTCAGAAGTTCCACTATTCCATTTTAAATTTTGCGAGGATGAGTGGATCAATAGCAGACGACAGACCGATGGACATGGAAATATAATTTGATTGACCCAAATGTGTATGCGTCATGGGGTCTCTTCGGCGTATTTCTGGGCTTTATAAAAGGGAGGAAATCACCCCACTTCATAAGCACATAAGCCGAGTTGGAAAAATATTAAGAAAATAGTATACCACTGCCAGGTTTCAGGGTAAGGTATTGTGGAGCTCGAAGATGAACATTAATTAATTAATAGGATACACAAACTGACCAAAAGTTCAAATATTCTAAGAGCTGATGGCCTTAATTGGTAATTTTAATCATCTTCCCTTTCCATTCAAGAGTTTATTGCTTTAGGGTAAGTAAATTATAATATGATAATTATTATAATGATAATAATATGATAATAATGGGATTAAAAGTTTTTCATGAAAAGTTTTATAAATTTTAGATACATTTTTCTATAGAAATTGTTTATTAAAAAAATTTTCATTAATGTGTTTATTAAGATTATTTTATATCATATGCGACGAAAGTAAGTTACTTCACATTTGGTTTTGCGTATAAACTCGACATACGCATGAAATCGTAATCTTTCTACTGCGAAAGCCTTTAAGATTATCACAGTACACTCCACTGGGGAACCTAAGTTGTCTCGTTGCCAGGATGCCAGAATAAGACAGAAGTGCAGCAGGTACTTGAATGCTTGCATTGGATTCGGATCATGGCGCCTTCATGTCTTCTACAGCGGCCGTTATGTGGAACGCAAACCTAGTATACGTCTGCTCCTCTAATGAATTTCTCTATACCTATTAACCTATGTTCCTTATATGCCTTCTTCAAATATAGTATGGTTGATATTTCTGTCAACTGGTGGGGCTTTGAGTGCAAATTTCCTAATGGATACGCGTTAATTTTCAACGAACACTACTAACAAACGTTTAGATCTTGTATGCGAAACGATGAGACATCTTATTCACTAATTTGCTAACAGTACATGCTTTGGTTTTTTACATATTTCACCGAGAGATATGCTTCGTTACTTTTTATACCCATCATTGACGAAAGGAGGTATACCCATTTTCTCACAACATCTGCAACATCTGGAAGGAAAGTTCAAATACTCTCCCAAGTGTCTTTATTCTTGATCAGTGTCAAAATCTGAATCGGCAAAAGCAGGTCCGTCCGTTCGTCCGCCTGTGATAAAACTTCTCCTGACAGCAAAAATTCAAATATCGTTCTCGAATTTAGTAAAAATATTGAAAATACTTGAGCGCAAATTGACATAGATAACAGGTCAGGTCCATTAAAGGATATGCATACATTAAAGGATATGCACACATTACATATTAAACTGGGCAAAAAGAAGGAAAAATTGCAAAAAGAAAAACGGCCTCGCTGCCTTAGCTGCCTATTATTATAGAGTAACGGAATCAAATCTTTCTTTTTGCTATTTTTTTGTGGTGGATGTAAACAATTCGGCCACAATCGAATACAGTTTTCTTACTTGTTTTTTTTTTTTTTTTGTACATTTGCAAATATATATTTTAACAAGTCACAAAACAGAGAGCCCTATGGCGAATCTTGGACACACTTCATATAAAAATAAAGCAAAGCTTTCTTATTTGATGATCAACCGATATGTGGATGGAAGGTATTTTATTTCTTCGTTATATAATACGTTAAATTTTGTTTTTGTAGCTACAGTATAATGTCGAATTTCATGGGCGCTGATATCTTGAGTTTTTTTTTTTTTTTGGCCAAATTAAGTCTCACAAGTAGTTTTTCAGCAGTCATTAAGCCCATGTCAATAAAGAAATTATTACCATAACAAGTGACAACCATTGGCACAGTCATGGATTACCGTCGTCTAGTGGCAGTGGCAGGCTAGGACCATCAAGATTTCGATTAAAAGTTAGTCAGGTCATCATTTCTATGCGTATTTCAGAGCATTACAAAGAGCTTGAGATGGTCAGTGTACCGTCCTGTTGGTACATATCAGAAAAGCAAGCATTAATTTGGAAATGATGTCAGCTCAATAGACTAAGCTTACGGTGGCATCTGTTCAGTATTTTAATGTATTAAGCGGTTATTTTCAACATTCTTGCGTAAAATATGGAGAGCATTGAGTTTGAGTTTTAATTACTTGTCCTATAGTTACGAGCTTTTATTACAAAAATTATATTAAGTGAGCAAACTACTAAATTTTTACAATGCATTAGTTGCAACCATTAAATAATTAAATTCATTTTATGTTTTTACAAACTACAATTATATACATGACATAGCGATGAGTTGTATTGAAACATTGAAAAAATTTGCGATTTTTACGACTCGTTCCAATTATCTAAACTAATGCATTCAATAAATAAATTGCAAAAAAGAATCATTACAAGTCCGTTTTTTAGGTAAGTCCGTTATTCGATATCTGAAAAACTACACAAATTTGTACATAAACACTGATCGCGATGTTTCTCTAAATAAAGTGCGTTATGACACTGTTCCCTCTTCTACACGCAGTGGAAAGCGGGCAAGAAAATTACGTTTGGCTGCGGGCGAATACTCTATACCCGCACACCAGCTTCAGCTTAAAAAAACTGAAAAAAAAAATGAAGTTTCATTATCGTATAATACCGGTTGCCCGTTTCTGTACGCCTGCTGCTTTACTGTAGAATCATCGTTTTACCAGCTGTGAGTAATGAACAAAATAAGTCCGTCTTTTTTTTCGTTTAAATATGACCACTAAGGCCGGGGATGTTCTCTGTCCTTGTCCCCTGTACGTAAGCCGCGGTAATGGTCGGGGAGAAAAGTAGATGCGGACTGGCTACGTTCCACTGGGTATCTAAATTAATGGCTGAGCATTCATTGTAGCCATGCCCAAGTATGGCCAAACCGTACTGAGATTTAAGCTCGCGAACATTAACTTGATAGTCGCGACCAATAGTTAGTTGGTTATGCGGCAATTTCACGGTCAACGCCTTTTTTTTAAATATAACCAGTCCCTCAAAGGATATTCTTTGTATTTATATGAATGCAGTGACGTTTAAGTAGAATATAGTGCAGACAGATAGAGAGAAAAAGAGAGAGAGTTGTGTCTTCACCGACCCATCTCTTACTGCATCTGCGGTCAACGGCAACTCTAATTAAAATATGGTCTGTCGGACTATTAATTGGGTTCGCGTAAACCGATTCGAATGTTGTGCTTCTTATTAACTAGACTACGCAGCCAATTTTCTTGCAAGTTTCTATAACTGGAAAATGTTTGCTATAGACATAGATCTACAGATTTGCTTATATCATATCAGAATTTGATATTGATTAGGAGTCGTTGATGCTTCATTCTGCTTGTTGGAAATGCTTTGGCAAAGTGAACATAACTCCATCCTTTAGTGCTGCGTATAAAAAATTACTGCGATAAAAATTAAAATACTCAGTCATTTTCAGGCCGCGTAGAAATTCAGAGACTGAATTCAATTTCCAAGACCGATGACTAAAATTGTTGAGATCATATGTTCTTCGTATAGATTAATATGTAATGTCTTTACAAATGAATAAATTACTTCAAGCAGTTGACAAAACAAACGCTGCCCTTTGTTCAGTTTGGTACATAACAAAACTTTTCCAAGATTATATTGTTTCAAAGTAATGGGAAGTGGGCTCCATAAGTCGGTTTATTATGTAGAATAAACTACGCCAGGTGATCTTTCATACACTTTGAAAAACCTTCCGATCATTAGTTCAGGAATGGATCCAACAAGCTGGAATTGGCGGCAAAAAAAGGGTTAAGCTTGATAAACTGACGAGTGGGCATATTGTGAAAGATTAATTCAGATGAAGTCGTCGCTAGTGTGGAAACTGTTTAAATCATCTAATAACAAAAAAATTCATTGCAAAAAGAAAAACTGAATGCACTTGCGAAAGATTATGTCCCTCTACGCATACCGACGTGAACTAAGTTGAGATATTGTGATTAATGACAAGTCATTGTCAAGTCAAGTATGTTTTGTCGTATGGATAAAGAAGCAATGAGTAAGAAGTGACGCTTTGTTGACGCAGCTTTGGTGTTTGGCTCTCTTTACTCTTTATCTGAAAAGTATTCAACAGAAAAATTCCGATTTATTAACGTATCGTTGAAAAATTGTGTACGATTACGACATATCATTTCATTCATCGTTTCTTTTGTAAGCAACCGTTATGAGTAATATATTTAATAAATAAAATTAATATGTTTATTTACGCACTTTGCACTTTCTTCGCCGTAAGTTAATTATATATTCACCGCAATTCTTGCAAAGAGTTTTATGAATTACTTCCCGCGCTGTACTTAACCTTTTTATATATATATACTAACCTTGACCATGCATGATATAAAAGCACACACTTTGGCGTGCACTTTTTTGCATTCGTTAACTTGTGAAAATCCTTAAATTACTTTAAATAATAATTTAAACAAATACTTTTAAAGAACATTTATTTCGAATTTTTATTTAAGATGTCGGAGGTTTTAGTTGTTTTTTTTTTTGTTTTAATTTTCTCAATTTTACACATCATTCATTAATATTTATTTGATGAAATTACTTAAGTAAATGGTATTATATTAAAAAAGAACATTTATTAGAATGTGAGAGTAAATGTTTTTTATTTATTAAATCAAAGACTTTAATAACTTAATACTATGGCTATATGTTCAAAAAAAAAACTGTCGTTTATAACTTGCCGCTTAAAGCGCATCTTGAACACCCACCATCTTAATCGTATAGAAATATTGCCAATGTCATCATGTTTTTTTCGCATCAATTTAGACATTTTCCCAATTGAGTTTCAGAGGGCCTTGATAATAATAGAGAAACGATATTCTTCGCCTAAATCGGTCGGGAATCTCAAACTGATCAAAATTATTGTAAAATGTGTAGTACGCAGTATGAGAAACATTGCAACTATGTGAGTAAGCAGCACTGTACTTCCCTATCCTACTACGAATTATTTAGCGTTCAATGAAGACTTCTTTTTCAGGGTAAAATGAACTCCTACCTAGCGGCTGATTTATGTGCCTAAATATCGAGTAAGCTCGATCGTAATTTGATTGTGTTACTCGCCAGAAATTTTACGTCCGAAAGATTTTTCATCCAAGAGTAAGACAAACATATATTTTATCGACAGCTCGCCGTAACGAATCCATAATCCTCAACTATAGTGAGCTGTTTCGATATCGTGGCTAATAAGCCGGCTGCATATTACACAAGTATTTTATGGGAAATGCAACAGTTTTTATCGCACATGATAGTGAGCTTGACAATCAACCGTATGAAAGAATTTCCATTTTTGGACTTTGAATTGCAGAACTCAAGCTAGGATATAATCTCTAAGATTTTGTTATTTGATGATCATTTCTATTATGTTTTGCTATTTTGATTAAACTCATCCCCACAATATATGAGTTAATAATAGAAATATTTAAAGGTTGTTAATAAGATGCAGAAATTTCAATTAGAAATTCGAATCCTTTCCCACTAGAAGTGCGAATACAGCCCGCTCTACCTAAAACTTAGCTGTCAAAATGCATATTTTTTTGTCAACCAATCCATTGTCTGGATTGTGTTTTGTCCGTTACGCGAAACTAAGGTGTCAAAATGTGTTTTTGCTTCCCACACGAAAATGTTTGCTCCTCATTTTTGTTTTAATAGATAATAAGATATAAATATGGGTGAAGTAAAAATATTTCAGTTTAGTCCATTTTTGTACTACTAGGAACGATGAAGAATAATAAAATAAATTCTAAATTTATTTTTTTTTTTTGTTATTCTAAACAGTGAGAAAATTAATTGATACACTCAAAGAGAAAAGAAAAGCACAATTTACTTATGAAACAACAGCTTGGACTGTGATTTAATGGTGACAACTGCTTATGCTCTGGATAAATATGTCGAAAAACAATGTTTTTGACGGGGCGTAGAGATTTATTATATATATAATATTTTACATGCCTCTCCTGCATAACTCGAAATGTTGTAAGTGGAATCGAGACATCTTACATACCTACGAGCGTTTTTCAACATGTCCACAAATGAATTCTCCATTTGCCGGTGTATGAAATCTACCTGTGCATTTGATTATCTCGAAATTTTGGATTTTGATAATTTAAATATTGACGTTTGTAGCGTATAAGCTTCACTTGTTTAAAGGCTTTCTTTCAGCGCGTGCAAATGTAAAGAGCTGTCAGTGATTGATGGCGTTGCGTTTTTTCTACTTTAAACTGGATTAAATTGGAAGAAAATGCAGCTAAAGCTACGGAAATGATTAAGTTGGCTGGGAGTGAAAATACAATGGTATGTTATGAAACAGTTAGAACTGGATTTTGGACAAGAAATCCTCGTCTTGAAAATTATGCAATTCGTGCACGTCCCGCGTAAGCAATCCAGGAAGTGATCTTTATCTTGAACTGAGAATTTCTACCGCATTCAATCTATTCTCCAGACCTGGTCCCTTCAAATTACCACTTGCTCAGATCGATGCAGACGCATTTAGCAGATCAATGGTTCACAAAAGTTGACAGCTTGATGATAATTTCGCCTCGAAACTGACAAGTTTTCCGCGAGGATGTTCGTAAAGTATTCGATAAGCTGCAGAAGACCATAGATAATGAAGGTGGCTACTTCGATTATTAACTCGCCTAATAAGTGTGTTTTCAATTAATTTGAACACGATCAAAAAATATCGAGAATCTTTTTGTAGACTTAATACTAAGTTTCACTATAGGCTTGCTGACGAAGAAACGAAGCCTTCAATCTTGAAGGATATAAACACAAATACGGAACTGTACATATTTCCTTACGGAGATTATTGTCGAAAATGAACAGTGGGCTCATCTCAATATTTCAATATCGATATGAACTCAGAGTTTTGCTATCACAGCGAACCTCATCTGACTGGTAAATCGCTCGCAGATTTATTATATAATAAATTATTTTTGTATATATTTTGAACTTTTAAGAAAAATCAAAGCTTTTTTGTTGGCTTCCAAAAGTTTTTCGAAAACGTAATCCATAAGTGATGGGTGTGTAAAAATTCGCCTCAAGTTTAGTATAACCTCAGTTTTTGTTATGAAACAACGCATTACCTCATGGGATTATAGCTTATTATTCGACAAAGTGTGTGGATTTAAAGTGCAAATGCAACAATTCGTAGATTTTATTTTGTGACTTAAAGTTATTGGACAGTTGTTTTAATACTTGTAAATACAGTTACATAAATATTTTGTATAGTTATGGTAAATGAAGCAGCATGACATATCTATATGCTGTTTACTTATTTGATGTAACATATATTTACTTACTTAATGTTTTGAAATGCTAAATTTAATGCTTTGATAAAAAAAAAAAAGAAATTAAAATGAGTTACATAAATGCTTTAGTCAAACAAGTCCAGTCATGTGAAATTCAATTTTATTGTTATCTATCTATTCTACTGTTACATATTTCGAAAGTATCTCCCCATGCGATTGAGTTTTGTTTAAGTGTATTGAGATGAAACGTTCGTTGAAATTTCGTGACAACATGTTCACTTTTCTTTTTTCAAAACATTGTAATAACCAAAGAAAGTAAGAAAATTGTAGTTGAATCTTTTCTACGGCCAGTGCTTAAAAAAGGTCCTAAAAAATCAAGCTTCAACAGCCTGAAATTTTAGGTGAGCCTGGCGGACTTTTCCCGTTTTTCCACAGACACTGCACTCCGCGGTTACCCATCCCGTATACTTGAAGATCATTGCTCTTGTATCCTTTTTTATGCACACAAGCACAAGCTCCGATTTTTGGTTTTCGCAAAAAAGGGATGTTGTGCTCTACATGTGCTCTTTCGCCTTTTTCCAGCATCAATTTGCGAGTAAAATCTTGCAATAGTGTTATGTAAATTGGAAACCGGTGTTGTCATATGCACGGCCAGAGGAAAGTTTACCACAAACTAAATTTTGCACAGACATTACGCAGACGGACAAAGGGACGGACACTGATTAAGAATTTTATGCTGATCGAGTAGGATCTCTGAAGCTCTCTTCTGGAACAAAACGAATATACACATACTCTCCAGTGCTGAGATAAGACGAGTTTTTCTTTTTTGTACAACTGCCCAGGAGATGTTGAGAAATTTATAAAAGTACGATAGGAAAAATACTTGGTAAAGGTGATAAGTCGAACGAACGGGTTATCGGGTTATAGCGCCACCCGTATACGACACCCAGAGGAACTTGAGATAAATCCATCTTTTATTGTGCCGAGGGATTCCGAATCACTTTCGTGAATCTGAAGCTTGTCTGTCTGTTATGGTTCCTTGCGTTTAAGCTACAGTTGGTACTTTTCGAGATATTTTATTACCTAAGTTTTTTACTCCAACAAAGCAAGTGTAAATCGTATGTTCACTTACATATAAACACATACAATCGAATCACACTTTAACTACAAGATGCGAGATGCAAATGTATTCATTGTGCTCAATGCTTTAGTTACAAGAATTATAAAATTCAACTCAATTAAAGTAAAACTTCTCAGAAGTTTTTCGCGTTAAAATTTTTTTACATAGTTTGGGGGGAAAGAAGAAATTAGAGAAGAGAAAAAGTACATAAGAAAGGAAATAGATATTTTTTTGCGCTTATTCGTGCCTTGCCCTAATTAAAAACGATAAAAGGTGAAGTTTCAAATTGAAGTGTTCATCTTGCTGAAGTCTTAGAACGAATTGTGCACATAGAGTAAATAGATTCTATTTATATATACACATGTAAAACAAACTATTAGTAATAATAAATAAAATAGGAAACAAAAAATTGTATCACATATGAATTTCTTAAATAAACTATATAGTTAATTATACCTATGAAAATATTCAACAAAAAAAACATTTTACTTTACACAAAAAAATAAAAATAATTTAAGCTAAAAATATTTTAGCAATGATTAAAGTAATGGAAGTGGCAGCCATTTTGTTGAGATCATGTTTGTGGGCAGCGTTGCATTTATCGCTTAAGCAATCCTGACAAAATATTCGACGCACATTCTTTTCAATAATTTCAGTATTGCAATGATCCAAAGGATCCGACTTGTTCGTGTAGTAACAGAAACGTTTAGTGACCGTTTTACCATTCACTGAAAGAAAGGAAAAGAGAAAAAAATATCAATGAAATTGCATATCTATGCTCCGATTCGTACAGTATTTCTTTACATATACCGGATGACTTAAGCTAGTCTGCCCGTCTGCATTTTGTCCTTGTACTTTTGTGTTCAACGTACCACAAGTCACAATTTTTGAGATATTTTGGTGAAGTCCAAGGATAATCCGTAGTGAAAATGGCCTCGACCGGACAATGTTCACGATTATTCCTCGTACAACAACTAATTTTGGGTAACCCTTATTTGCGACAAAAATTGCTGAGTAGGAGCATTACCGTATTCTAAGTCATGTGGCTCGGATGAGGCAAGTTTTTGAATCCTTTTTCCGAAAGCTAAACCTTCATATGGTAAAGAGATCTAAGTTTCAATATTTCATAGTGAAAATTCGTTGGTAATCGTAACTTGACATAAAAATTAACTTTACTAAATTTGGATCTGGTAGGTATATATTTTGCATGCAACCACATATAAGAGTCTTCATGAAAACTGCAATCTCTATTTAGCAAAAACGTACTTTATGATGAAGTCTTCTTCGTGATAGTATTTTCACATCAAAATTAATTCCATCAAATTTCGATCAGGTCAGTCTTTTTCTTTGATCTCCTGATAGGAAAAGAGCTCTGATAAGGTGTATAATTTTTAGCATTTTAAAATGAAAATAGGTGAAGAAGAACAAGCACTTTGAGAAGAAAATTAGTTTTGCTAAAGTCGAAGGACTTCAGATCACTTTTTTGAAACTTTTCCGTATAAGGATTCTTATGAAAAGGGCGCTTCTACATGGAAACCAAATGCAACGTTTGTTTTTCTATCATGAAAATAAATGAAAAAAAGCAAAGTGATGCGTAATGTTCAAAGATCGTCCTCGCGCTACCATAATATTATTAGTTGTTTTAAAAATACGGGCGATCCTAGGCCTTACGCGGTTGCAACTATTGAAGGAATGAACAGCAAAAATGCTTAAAAAAGTAAACGTTTATCTAAAGTCACTGCACCCATCTCTGAGGTCGTGAAGAATAAATTTCCCTGATTGTGAATAATCGCTTATAGCTATAATGATTTGTAAGCAGTGACCAATGATTCAAGGGAAGTTTGTGTCGTGAGGTTATTATTTGATACAGTCCTTGCAGAAGTTTGTAAATGATTTCAGTTAGTGCCCGAACTGGACTTTAAACGGATAAGATCACTTTTCAATAATCATGAACGTAGTTTGATTTAATATTGATGCAGATCTTCTGGTATATTACCGCGAAAAATATGGACAGTTCATCTTAATATTGTGTTGGAATCAGTAATTGAAACATATTCAATATTGCGATTACTATTATTTTCGATGTTTTCGATGGAGTTGCATATAAAAAGTTCTCTACATTGAACGTACGTTTCTTGTTAATCCGGAAAATAGACGCTTTCTTCTTACTTTTTCAACAACTTACTTTCTTCTATAGTCTTACGGCAAACCGCTCGCTCGTGTTCTGAATGAATGGTGCTATTGCAAACACGTATCACACTTAGATTGCGCTCAGCTAGCAAATCTGTAGGTATATTACTCTCTTTGAATTCAGTATCGCAGAAATCCTCGGCTCCATTAGTGTCGGAACTACAATGCCAACATTGTAGGTGCTTGTAGCCTGCTCCTAAAAAATATAAAATTCTCTAATTAATCGCATTCATCATTCATCGCATATGAAATAGGCTGGCGTGTGGGTGTCATGTCTTTGTTTAATAAATCATTTGTTTTCTCCGACTGAAGATTACTTAAAACTATATATCATTCACGTTATTTATAATCTAAGAATAATTATGGTATTTTTAGATCGCCGCAAACATTCCGACTTGTTTAGTTTCGCCTTCACATGACCTCACAGTCATAACAACTTAAAATATCAAATAATCAGATCCAGCGATTGTGAAACATCTTCATAACCATGAAATTTATTCATTAGTCGCTGGATTTGTTTGTCGTTTTTCGCGCTAACACATAACTAATCTTAGTTCTTCCTTGATAGGAGAAGAATTTCATTATTTAAGCAGAATTACGCACAATTTCAGTCTCTTCATTCATTTTGAAAATTTGCCGACAAGAATTTCCAATGATCAATAAAAGATTTTCTAAATTATAAATTAGCAAACGGAATGACAATAAACTTCTCTGAGAGCTTGATCAACCTAACCAAGAAGGATTGACAAATCGGGCGTAGTTTTAATGTAAAACACGCCCTTTATCTTTTGAACATACCAGCTATCGATGATTTAAAATGTAGTCTTTTTACGCCGTTGCTGTATTTTTCATCATATCCGCAATTACTAACTTCAATGCGTTACCTATAATCGAATAAAAAATTTCCTGTCTGCATACATCTATTAAAGCGTCCCGCTGACAACTAATTGCATTCAAATTACAAGGAAAGGCGGGCATAGGCGATATGTGCAAAATTAAAAGAAGGACACAAGCTAAATATAATGACATTGAAGTGACATACGCAAAACTCCTCTCTCACCCTCATAACTAACTGTCTCGTCGCATGTTATGTCTATGAACGTAATATAATCGCACAAAGTGAACTGATTTTTGTCATTATTGTTAATACATGTGTTGTTGATGTTTTTTTTTTTTTTCTCTTATATTTTCTCTGACTTCGTCTAAGCGACGTCTGCATGGCGCCAAATTACAAGCAATGTCTATAAATTGATGACGACGATGATGACAGGAATCACAGAAACGTGATGTTAGTGATGTAATGGTTAGGCGCGAAAAAATACAAGAAAATTCTGGTAGAGTGTAAAGGACGTAATGATAATTTCGGAAACCGCACAAAATTAAGTTATGTAGATATTATAGGCGAAATGCTTTTAATTGTTATTCGATGATGTAATGCTTTCAATACTTTACGACTGTTGTTGTTTTCTGCGATACGAGGACATAACATTCAACAATGCTATAGTGTAACTCTTTGACAAATAGCGTAAGTACGTAGACAAGGGGACGTGCCTGAGTCAAACATATCTTAACGTTAGCGATATTTCGATTTCTATCCAATACTAACCTACTACCTTAAAAAGTTGAAACTTTGACAAAACTATACTAAAAATGTTGACTTATTATTATTGAAAATTGCAAGAGATTTTTAAACTTTAAATTATAACTTAGTTCCTTTAAACTTACTCGTTATCTCTCTTTCTCTCTCTCTAACTTCTATGCATAATAAAAGCTTCTAATTAAGGTGTTGAGGTGGAAGTATGAGACGGAAGTATCATTTTACACAGAGTAGCTGCTCTTTAATTATATTGCAATTATTTACTGTTGTACTTTAGAAAAAAATAATGATAATGAGGTAAAAATACCGTTCATTATACAGTTATGCTTTGAATATTCGTTAGGAAAACGAAACTCATTTTCATACCGATTGTAAATTTAAATGAACACTTTAGCTTCTAATTACGACAATCGGCTGTAAAGAGTAGCTTATACGAAGCGAGCAATTCGAAAATGACAAACTAGGAAAAATGTTTCCCCATTGGGGGGAACATCACTGGGACAACATTTTTTTGGATAGGGAGGAAAGGTAATAAAACAATGCTATTCAAGGAAGTTTTTAAACTTATATTTACGTAAGAACACTATAGTGGGCCTTGGTCCACCATTAAATACCACTAGATACCCTACACAACCCTATTGTTCACATAACAACTTTTCAAAATTAGGCCTTATGTGAAAAGGGGTCAAAGAAACGTTCGTTGCGAGCCATTTAGTATCGGTCATCTCTACACCGAAATGCGTGGGCATACCAAATTTCATAGAAATGTTTCAAAAATTGCATGGGCAGATATCAAGCGGACAGATGCACACACGTGCAGACAAAAAAGTTGTGTCCTGTTGGTTGAACACAGAAATAGATGGGCAGGTGTTAGACGGGCAGACAAAAGAACACAAATGCTAGACAAGTAGAAGGACAGACGGGAAGATGATATTACGTCGATTCAGAAATGATTCCGAATCGTTATAATAAAAGGCGACACTATCCTAAGCCGTTCGAGGTGTTGCATACATCTGCTATACACCAGGTGGTGTGGAATAGAACTCACAAGTGTAATAATAAAAATATTTTGAAAAAGTGCGTAAGTTATTTGCTGAAGCTATATTCGTGTGTAACGGTTAAAAGGTATGTGTAGTAAAGTGCATAATTTACATTCCGCCTTACGGAGAATTAAATCTGTGTGCTATACTGGAATCCTGACCAACGCACTATGCAGTCTACGTATGGTTTCGTTACTTTTAAGTGGAAAATTTCATTTAAATTTTATGCAAAGGCATTACAGGGCGTATGAGCTTTAATTTATTTATTTCAATGAAAGTTACTAAAGGAAGGAAGGAAAGAATAAAAAGCATATTCAAGTATAACCTTGAAATTGTTACCAAAAATGGAGGTAAAGGTGCGAATAAAGCGTTTAGTTGCTATAAACAAGCTGCTGGTTGGTAACATCTTTCAGTTGACTAATCAGTTGATTGTACATTGCTTAGTTCATCAGCAACGCTCGAGCGTTACAAAGAGTTTTTGTTTTTTATGCTACATACAGATAAATTCCAATAGGGAGATTGGGATAAAAGAGTGATAGAAATTTTGACGTAAAAACCCAATTGGATTATTATACATAATTAGATGTGCATTGACTAAGTTTTACAAGTCGACAACAACAACTCGATAGGCGTACACAGACGTTACCATCAATTTCATTCAATAAGGCTTGCGAATCAGTAGCGGCATCTGTCAATTTCATTCAAAAAGCTAATATGTATACCTTCCTCAAGTGAAGGTAACGCTATTAAGAGTAATCGGTTTTCATTCGTTTATAACGCGTATGCAAATGGTAAGAATTCTTGTCGTGTGACATGACAGAGGAATATATTCCAATACACATTTAAACACATTTATTTGCGATATATTAATATCGAAAATCATACGATCAGCGTTTAATAAAGCCAACTGCAGACCTAGCTGATAAAAGACTTATTACCAAAGAACTCGTCAAGGTCAAGACTTCTCTAGTGTATGTGGCTCAATGAAATATTATGTTCTTTGTAAACTTATGGTTAAAAATGAAAATTTTTTACATATATTTAAACTTAAATTAATGCTAAAATGTCAATAAGAAAACCCTTTAGGCAAGTTAATTAAACCTGTTTGAAGCTTAAAGGAAACACATTCAGCATTGATGTAAATAAACAGTTTAACATCATCCGCATACACAAAGGCATGGGATGGTTCAATCGCAGACAGTACGCTGTTGATATATGTATATAATATCGGCTCCAGGTGGTTGAGGAGCATCAGAGAAAACCGCAAACGACTTAGATAATACTCTCGACTGTTTTTTAAGAAGATACGAACACATTCATTTCAAGATAGTTGGAGGGAAACACAACAATAACAATCTAAAGGTCAATAAAATAAGGCCTTAGTCGTATTATGACCTCTATGTAGATGACATTTGTCTGCAATCCATAGAAGAAAACTTGAAAGGCTTAACTTGATATCATGTTGATCTCTGCAATGTTTTGAATTAACTCAGTCCATTCAGAGATCTGATATGTTAATTTGCAAGCCCTCACTCCGCGAACATGGTTGACACTTGGGATATATATATAGAAATAAACAAACGTAAATGTAGTGATGACTTTGGCCTTCAAAGAGAGATTATTGGGGAATACAAACAAAAATTCCTTCGAATGCGAATGTCAAACTTTTTACACTTAATGTCATTTATATGAATGTATTTTAAGTAGAAAAATGATAAATTTAAAGGAACGCAACAAAGGGCAACCCTTGATAGTTCTTCTTATTAAAGGCAATTTTTATAAGAAGAAGAAAAATATTATGCAATTTTTACGATTGTTTGTTTAAAGTGAATGCAAAATTTCATAAGAAAATAATTCAGGTCATTATGTCAATGTAAAGTAAAAGCAAATTTACATTACAATAATGTTTGGCTGGCGCGTACGCTACTATACTATAGATTACTTGTCACGATGTAGTGCCAACACAAAATATGACAAGACACGCCTTAATTGTCAAGGTATTGGATGAGCGCAAATAGATCAAACAATTACAAACATGTACGTAGACGTTTGAATTTAAAGAAAGCGCATATAATGTCTAAGGTATCTATCCATTTATTCCCCAAAGTTGTTCACGTATGCAACGGCACATGCATATCTTTGATTTATAATTGCTTTTTCATTTATCTTAAGAGAAAGGTGCGGTTTAATTGGATATAGAAAGAAAAGTAAATTAGAATTATTCCCGCTTGCCCATGTATGCGTTCAATTTATTTTATTTAAATTATCAATAAATTGAAAATGTTCTTTCATGTATAAAAAATAAAAAAAAACAAAATATCGATGGTGGTCGGGTGGTATCGCATGCGTCTTTTTCTTAACAAATTGCTTACAGTATTTATTTACGCCGCATGATATATTTTCTTTATTAATACAACTAGCCTGCCGTGTTTAAATATCATTTAGTTTAATTTTTCTTCTTTTTTTTCTCTACGCTCGTCATACAATTAACTTAAATAGTTTTACAAACTTATGATAATCGTTAGTTTTTATAACCTGTTGAATGAATAAATAAATTTAAAAAAAAAAAAGAGAGAGGGGAGAATAAGGGTGAGAAACTGAAGTTAGAGACCGAATTAAGTTCCGGCTTGCTTGCTAATTGAAAGAAGGGCGTAGAGTGATAAACAGATTTTCGTTTTAAATTTTTTTTTTTTAAATCTATTTTCGTATTGGTTCAAGGGAAGCTTTGTGCTTCTAGAATAGATAAGAAAAAAATCATTACCTGGGAGGAAAACTTCCTTCTCATCTACAGTGCCCTAAATGAATGGCCTTGGATATGTAAGGAGGAAAGGTAAAGAAGATAATAAATTTTTACTTGAAATTCTATGCAGTTACTGCGTCGCTGCGAACAGACAATGTGTATCAAGCCCCCTAACTTAGTGTTTGTAGAAAGTGTTTGTGTTTATTTAAAAGCGTTTCCAATGAGAAATAAGGAGTGGCCGCAGATTGATCGATCATTATCTTCTATGTCCGAGTAGTGTTCAAGACGGGTATAAAGCCTATGAATCGGCTACGAGCTTTGAGAAATTTGAAAAAATAAAGTTGGAAAAGCCTATAGCTTGCTCAGGTTAAATGATCAATTTCTTAGTAGTTATGAGTAATAGAGTTGCTGTAATTTTGAGCCTGATGTCCTTACTTACCCAATGCAAATAGAAAAATATATTAACTAACATGTTTTCAATAAGTAAACAAACAGAGGCCTACAGTAGAGTCGATATTGTTGTCAAGGTTATAGTTTATGGAATATCCAATACAAAGAAGTGCTTAGTAGGACTTTTCTTTAAATTTGTTGATTTAGTTTGTTGTTGGTTAAAGTAAAGAGTAAATTTGTTCATTCCTCTGAAATATTTTTCATACGATATCTATGTATCACGCGCTTAGTGTGAATGCCACTTAACCTTAAGCGTATATAATATGTTAGAAAATTGAATTCGGCTGTGAACGAATTTTTTATACCCAAGACTTTTCTTCATCTTAAGAAAAATTAGAAAATACGAAAGAATTAAACTTTCATATTCTGTAGTATTGGATGGATTTGGGTAAAATGTGGAGAGTTTTGTCGTGTATTTAATGTGGTACATACAGTCATGAGCAGGAAGCCCAAAAACCCGTGGTCTTCTCAGTTTATCTTTCGCTGTAGATGTGTCCTTAAATCAATTTGGCTCATTTTGAATACCGAACAGCATGCACGATTTTCCAAAGCCTTTGCCTGTAGCGATAGCTTCAGGTGTATGCGCCAAGGCGTATGTTTACTACAGACTATACACATACGGTGGACATATATACTTTAAAGGGTCTCGGAAACTCTCTTCAGGGTGTTGCAAATGTTGTGAAGAGATGAATATACACACATCTTTCGTTGGTGACTATGAAAGTAATTTTTTGGTCATATATCAATATGTTTCATGTCAATATTTCAACAAAATAAAAATGTTCGTCTGCTTTATATATTACACTTTTGCATATATTGGAGAATTAAAAATTTTTATTGTGTTATTTTTGTTCTAAATTCAATTGTATTCGAGATCAAGGCCAATATCTTGTTGATTACCTTTCTGTGTATGTTAATTGTACGATACTTGTTTATAGATATCGAATGGAAAATCTATCGAAACGTTCTAATTATATCATATGCACCCTACACAACTTTCTATATTAACTTTATGCGGATGTATGTCATAAACAAAAAGCGACTTGGATAGACCAACTCTTTAATATAAATATCAATTTAGAAGCACTTTCCGAGTCTTATAGGGCATTTGATGGTCGACACTGGACTTATAGTTGTGAACAAGATGAAATGATGAAATTTTCGTTTGCTTAGGCTTTTTAAACGGCTATCCATCGGCGGACCTTATTCTTTTGCAAATATTGCATGTAAACCGAAGCTGAGAAGAGATATTTTTTGAATTATTTGTTTGTTAAATCAATGTGCACCAAATTGGAATACTATACGTGCAGAAAGTCAACATGGCCATCCTGGCTGTCTTATCTATCATTAAGAATTCTTTGCTTGCCATTTGTGATAATTACGAACTCGGTGATCGATTTAGTACATGTCAATCTTTCGATGGCGGTTTTGAAAATTTAAAATATTAAATCGATTTGAGTATTAGTTGCTAGGAAGTCCAATGTTATAAAAACTTCTTTTTGTAATTGGTATGGATACAAAAATTTTTGAATAATACATAATAGACTAATGCAATGGCTAATGACTTTCGGTGAACTTCCTAGAATGGTTCCTCTTCCGGATCTGTAAGGTAAATGTTCGCTGCGTAGAAACTAATAGTTTGCCACATCTCTTTTGCCGCTAATAGGTGTCGCACGAGTTTTTCCCAACCAGGCATAATGTCAAACATCAAACAAAGTTTATTCGCCGGCGTGTTTTCTATCTTCTGCTACAACACGCTGTAGATATCGCGGATCGTCTTCATTCGTGAAGCGATGTGAAGTGAATCCAAAGCTAGTAAACGTAGTGAGTAACTTTGTCAATTTCGCTGCGTTTGCGCAAAGCTTCTTCATCTATATCTGATATTAAACGATCTGGCCATTTGCGAGCAGTGCCACAGTGAAAACAGCAAACAAAAAAATAACTCGTGACCTACGACGTCTCTTTGATGTTGCTCACACGGATGTTAATATTATTGCAATGGAGACAAAAGTTTAACAATCGAAAAATTATTATACCTGGCGACGGTTGCGGTACAAGGCTACATTATGTTTGCGCGGCCGCGTGTAATACTTAGAAGTGCTTGAGATAGATCCACCTTTTAATAAGCTTATTTCCGCGCTTGTCCGTCTGTCCGTCTGCGTTTTTTAGACACAACATACAGGCCGCAATTTTGGATATGTCTTAATCAAATTTTGTAAACTGATGTGTCGTAGCCCAAAAATGTACACGATTCAAAACGGATTGGATCGAAACGCTTTTTCGACAACTTTCCATATAACGCCTTATTTTGAAAAATCGGTGCATGAAAAACGATAAATCATGTATTTTGTTGTTTTTATTAAGAAAACTTGAAATTTGTTCTCTTTTTGAAACGAGTCTTTTCGTTCCTAATGGACGAAAGCAATGTTATGGTGATCTAAACCTTATTGCATGTGGTTGTCAGCTCCGTTCAGAGATGCCCTTAAATCATTTGGAAATTTTTTGCGCTCCACCACTCCACTACTACTTTGTTGTTGCCCGCATGAAATTGTCGATCCCGCAAAATACCTGCACACAAATACATATGTATGCGTGTGTTGCATTCGCATATGTATATAAATACATAAATGTATCTTTATATGTATACATTCTCTTGGGAAGTCGATCAAGCCATGTTTTGCCACTGCTGTCGTCTATTCTCCGCTTAAGTCACATATTAAGCCTTAAACTGAATATGTTCTGTACGCCCAATCCTCCTTACCGTTAAGCGGTCGTTGCTACTAAGGTTATCTCAATTTTCTTGATTTTGATTTTGCGCAACTCTACTACTTTTAGTAGTTGTATTATATAACAGCTTCCGTGATGCTTCTAAATTATAAGAATATTTTTTTCACTTCGCCCCCGTACTGGCGTGTGTTTTTTTTCTATTCGTGCCGAAAAAATTATTATATTATAGAAAATTCTATTCGATGTTCTTGTGGTATATAGAAGTAGAAGAAGCAAATAAAATATGATGACCGCACATAGCACAATGATGGTGACATAGCGAATTTGTCGACTTTGACCTCTAGACCGAGTACATCTTCGAGCTGTGGTTTTCAGAAGATGATATTGTAATCATATTACTAATCATGAAATTGTGTGGTGAAGAAATCTATATATGTGGGTCGTTAAGAATAATTTAATGCGACAGCTCTCTACTTTTTACGATGATGAACGGTGCCAAAAATTAGTCCTGGTGGTTTTAGGTTTGTCCAGTGAGGTTCGATTTACTTCATTAATTAATTTCGTTTCCTTTGATTAAAGTTCAATAGATTTCCCAAGAAGATTTCTCAATTAACATTTCAGTTCAAAGTCATCACAATTAGGAAAAGGGCAAGCAACGTTTTTGTCGATATCTTTTAAGGATATCAAAAATATTGTATCTGTCTTCAATGTCATGTGAAATGTTTATGTAAAGTTATTTCCTTTTACTATTTTTTAATATATTATCCGAAAAGGCTTACGGTCATCATGCTCAGTGTTCTTTAAGAAGCTGCGAAGCTTTCTTAAGCAGAACAAGAATTATCTTGAAATCACGCGCTACACTTAATTTGGGTCGTGAAATCATTCTTATGATAGACACAAATACACACACACACACATGCACACACACACACGCATACAAAAACGCACATACACAATTATATTTTGATTATATTTTGTGTACACCAAGATGTCCTATTTAGATTTATATATCCTTGATGTATGAGATAATTCTACGCAATTGCTTGTCCTCCTATTGCCATTTTAATCATAAACGAACTGAGGTTTCTATCAATGATGATATCAAACCAACTAACCTGGACTTTTGCAGACGATTGTTAAAAGGAATGAAGCGACGATTACTGCTTTAACAAATTTTGACATTTTTAGAAAATTGTTTGCAATGTTTGTTTATTTATTTATTTATTTGTTTTTGTTTTTAAAGAAATCCTTTATAATTTCACTTGGTATGGTAATCTTCTTAGTATTTCCTTTGCTTGGGACGTTAGAAATTTTATGTTTAATTTTAGCAAAGTAAGTGAAGTTTCTATTCAAATAAATTTACTTTCATTCTTTTCACTCTGCTTTTCCGTTATGACTTATTTAGCTTATTTTTTTTTTATTTACTTCGTTCTCAATATTTTATTCTTAAAGCAACGATGTAAATACTTTCTCAATTGAATGGCAACTAAATAATTTTGTGAGTTCTAGTCACCGAACAAGCTCAGCGGAAAATTCACTTTTCCTTTATTTTCTCAATATGCATTTCATACTCATATTACGCAGCATGCCCAACACATTACTGAGTAGTGTTGGCGGTATGACGTCGTTTGTTTATTTAACAATGAAATGTTACGTATGCGTAAACGTAAATTTCTGATTTCATAAAATAGGATTTACTTCCAAACCACATAGATATGTTAGTTCGTGTACGTACAAAAAGCTTTCAAGGATTTTCAGTCTAAATGGCGTCAAATTGTTCGTCCCCATTGATATGGATATGTGTGAATGTGTTAGTGTATTAGAGTTTTTACTTTGTCTTTACTATAATAGTATTTTACACTTCTTTTATTCCCTTATGCTTAGAACACTTCTTTTCAAGAGAGCGAAATGAAGTCGATTTTTATGTCAATATCATGCTTCTCTTTCATTTTTTCAACTTGACTCCCACGATATATACATTCGCTCACGGCCTTCACAATTTATTTATCTATTCTTTAAAAATATCAAATAATCAACAACAACAATCACGATGTGTAGAATTTATCGTTGAAAAGAAGATTAAAGATTCTTGTCTCTTTGTTTGAATCCTTCTCGGAATGTAAAATGCGATGCCTTTCCTCTTTGTTTTTAACACATTCACGCCTCTGAAATGGAGTCAATTTGCTTTACATTAACAATTGATTTTTGCCTGCAACAGTAAACTGATCAAAGCGATAATATTGCTATTACAACGCCTATGTAGCAAGTTAAACGGACTCGATTCGGAACATTAAGGTCGACGAAGCTTAATAGGTAAAAAGGCGAAACTCATAACCGAATCAATTTAACCATAAAAAGAAACACGATCGTTTCCGGTTCCTTAAGCAATAGTCTGTTTTCATATGGGGCGAAAAATTCAAATTTATCCCATGAGAGATCGGGCAAAGGAAAGGAACAAAATTTCCCTGGACAGACTCTATTAGATGTGACATTGATAGTAAGGTGACCAAGCAACGACATGAAAAGGAACGTCACTTTGACTAGATATTTTCGGAATTCTCCCGATGAACAGCACTACGAAAAAGATAGGATCAAAAGAAATAATAGCTACAATGCGCTCACTTAATTTAGACAGATCGATATAATTGTTGAATAACGAAAATACTTTTTCTCTACAAGAGTTGACTGATTGAGAACAATAAATCGTATTTGCGCCTACTTGCGTACTCGTTGATTTCCGTTGGTTACATTTACATAGTTACATAGTTACACGATTACACTCTAACTACGTTTATAACATTACTCGGTAGCCTTTCTAGTCAGCCATAGATAAATTAACATTTTAAATGTACAGTGACGATAATGCATTTACCTAATAGTCTACTATGTTGTATTTTTAAAAGTTCTTAGATATACGTTACACGCTCTTGTAACATCCAATTTGAATTGTTTCATGAAGATTTTTTCATATTAAAAAAAATTCTAATATTTTAAATAATTTATAATAAATTCTTGGAAGTTTAACAACGCTATGATTTTACTTGATTTACTAAGTTATAAAAAAATTTTGGGTGGAAAGGAAGACGAAGAAGATAAAGTCCGGTGTTTGTTAACAGAATTTTTCAAAATTTCTTCTTCATCGTCAAGTTAACAGCTTCACTGTTTGAAAGCATCAGTTACATTTTGAATTAGTTCAACAATTCTGTTAAGTTTGGCATTTCGGAATGTTTATTCGTTTATTTATTTCTGTAAATTAGTTTGTCATACGTTATTACGCGGTTTCCCCGATTTCTTTTTCGCAATTCTGTGTCATTTACACTAAATTCTTCCTTTTATAATAAGTTAAATAGATTTACTTATTAACATAATTGATGAATTTAATATTCATGACTATAATATAATAACAGAAAGCTCAAAATCGAAACTTTCATATGTATATTAACAGCAATTGCTTTACGTGCGTATAAAAAGCTTTTGTATAATTCTTTTTCTTGTAAACTTCCAGTTTGAGAATCATTGTGAATTCGTGAATAGACTGAAGAATAAAAAGAGATATGTAATTTTCAATTTTGTTTCATTCCATATTGCGCTTCAACTGTTTGAATGTATTTATAATAGCAATACTTTTGAAACTTTGAAGCGGGTGCTATTAAATTCAATTATTTTAATTTATCGAAATTGTCATGTATTTTTTTGCTTGAATCTCAATATTGCTGTTGTGTGTGCCAGTTACGTGTACGTGTACTTTTGTTTTGATTCTAAAGTAAAAATTGCCGACAATTAAAAAGAGGATCTGTAAAAGGTATACTATTTTTGTCTTTAGACTTTGTAAGTAGTCGGTTGCGCTGACGATGTAGCAATAACGATTGTGGCAAAGACTTTAGAGGAAATCACCGCTACAGCAAATAGAACCACCAACATGATTAAAAAGTGGCTGCAGTCGGTCGATTTAAGTCTGGCAGAAGACAAGACAGAAGCGGTATTAATAGCCTTAAGGAAGAAGTTTGAAAAAGGTCCAATAAACGTGGGAGATGTTAGAATGCAATCACAAGTCGCTGTAAAATGATCGACTTTTAATCTTTTAAACGGTGCTTGCAGTATGGCAAGGGGAGGGAGAAGGTAGCGGTCATAGAAAAGTCGTGGATGCGCTTGCTACCAAACTTGCAGGCAAGATCGTAGAGAATTGATAGCCGAAGTTGTAATTGCGACCATATTGTATACAAGAGGCATCCAAACAGCATACCGAGTCCGTGTGCTAAGCATTTGTGCCGTACATCGTACGGTGTCGAAAGATGCGGCATTGGTTATCGCTGGTATGATACCAATCTACCAGTGGGCAAAAGAACGCATTTGTAGAGGTGAACTTCACAGCTTGCTGGCTAATGTTGCCACGCAATGAGTAAGAAGCCGACTGGTGGAGGATTGGCAGGATTGGCTGAAATAGGGCGAGCAAGAGTAGATGGACGCACCGGCTAATACCAGATTTGCAACCCTAGTTTAATAGGCAGCATGATTTTTATTTAACATTATTAATAAGCGGCCATTGTTGTATCAAAACACGCTTACATAGGCTTGCAGTAGAGCAGGACCCATTTTGCAAGTGCATCGAAGACGCTGAACGCCTATTCTTTGTGTGTCCGAAATACCATGACGAACGACAGAGACTGCAGACACATAGACTTCGAAACTAAAATCTGCATCGGTCGGCAGTTTAGCAAGAAGTAGAAAAACATCTTTGGTAATCTAAGATAGGCAAGTGGATCGACTTAAGGGATTTTCGAATTGTTATTAATTCAAAGTTAGGTTGCACTGAACGAAAGTAATATTTTCAGTTTGCGAGTGGTCGAAGATTTACACAAAGATTTATAGATTTTTATATGTAATCTTTACCAAGAAGGTAAGAATACGTCTTGTCATTGATAAGCGGCACCATATGCAGTAACTTAATTTAACATCGCACGTACCAACGTTTCATGTATTCATAGCACAGGGGGGTCAAGCGACCTCTTTTCCAAAAGTTCAAATGTATTTTATAGTAACAGTAGATAGTGTACCATTGCCTTGTTGGGATTTTGAGTATAACTTTCAGTTAATAATTTCAATGTGTTTAGTCATTTAAAAGCTTATAAAAACATGCACATAATCAAACACACGAAATTGTCTATGCTTGCTTACGTATTTTTATATGTTGCATGACACGAGCACCCATGAATCAGCGTTATTTGATACAATATTTTCATTGGAAAGGTCGAAGCCGAACTAGATTCTATTCTGGGCGAATCTTGTTCTGCAGTTACTTGTTGTAATGTGTTGGATGACGGAGTTCAAATGAGGTCAGGTTTGTTTGTTGTTCAAACTGAAAGCGTTAGGGTTTGCGTTCACGGGCTGAGCGATGACGAGCAAGCAAACAAGGAGACGTAGATGAAAATATTCATTTTTTCTCAACTTGGGATTCCATTTTAATTATCCGAAAATTAAAAAAAAAACAAAATCCTCATCTCGAACGATGTAGTACAGTATGCAAAAACATAGAATGACTGGGAGAACTTAGTTACTTACCTTATGTAACGAGAATTGCAACCTGTAGCTGTTGAAGGGGCAGACGGGTGCATATGATTACATCGGTTTAAAATGATTTCATGAATCGATTAATAAGGAGGCTTGGCCTATACCAAGGTATTCTGCATTTTCCATATTTTAGTAAAAACTTGTTATGATCTGATCACAAGTGATATGAGATGTACAAACAATCTGAGTGATAGATTGCGCGGCAAGATAGTAAGGCACAATGCAATCTATTTATAGGAAAAGAAATTTCGTTGATATCGACAAAGAAACTGAAGAGATTTCTACGAGCAATCTATGGTTACTGCGCATTGAATTCGTCTTTACTTCTCTGCTACCACTTTCTCGTTGGTCCAAAATCCATTCAGCTACACTCGGTCGATTTTTCTTACGGACTTCATTTACAGTTCCTCTTGAAGAACTTGGTCTCCTCTTAGTTACGACTTGTTATCCATAGCTGTGTTTGCGCAGAAAGAGTTGCTAGTACTTGCCACGGGTCTGATTTCCCCGCCGAAGGCCGAAACTTTTCTCCAAATAAATCGTTGAATATTTACAAGGCTTTAATTAGGAGCATTCAAAAAAAAAAAAAAGTGAAAATCTTATATAATCCTTAAGCTTCACATATAAAATCCCAAGTGCATATTAATTTATATGAATGTCGGGCGATTGGTTAAAGTTCTGGTTAATCTTTATTTAAAAAAGTCACTGTCATGTGTTTGTTCGGTTTAATTAAAATCATAGATAGATTTATATATTTTTATGTGCACTTACATTCATTCACACACACACACACACAGACTCACGTACGTCCAAATAGACATTTAAACGCAGAATACAGACGAGAGTTAGCAGTTTTATGAAATTAACAATGAATTTTTATAAAAATGAAGGAAAAGGCAAATATTTTCAATT